AGAAATCGTGAGTTTCACTTTTTAAAAATATTATTTCATGTTTTCTTGAGAGAGAGAAAGAGAGAATGAGAGAGAGAAGGAGAGGGAGAGCAAGAGCACGGGAGGGGCAGAGAGAGAGGGGGAGAGAGAATTCCAAGCAGCCCTGTCCGTGCAGACCCCAATGCAGGGCTCGATCCCATGAACCATGAGACCGTGACCTGAGCTGAAATCAAGAGTCTGCCACTTAACTAACTGAGACACCCAGGTGCCCCAGAAATTATGATTTTTAATCTGCCAACAGTTCAGTGTGGTCCAGCTGATAATGCAGCTGACCTAAAACAAACACCATTGGGGTTTCATTAATGGAAATATGGACTCTCCCCATGGCCCACCATGATTGTCTACTCTCCCGTTCTGAGAGCCTCTAATTCTCTCAAACTTTTGAGCTTGAGCCTGAAAAATTTCCAGGATGAATTAACTTGAATGCAAAAGATGTTACAGTGGTATTGTAAGTACCTAAAGACAAGCTAATGATGAAACACAATGACTCTAAAGTAGGTTTGTGAGAAGTTATAATTAGTGTTAGAGAATTAAAAGTCTAAAAACATGCTGTATTTATGCAAAAAAGAACAAGCTCAGTAGAAAAACTAATGATTAGGAACCTTAAATCCAAAAGGAAATCATGACAAGATTTAGAATACATTTGGTTGAGAAACTTTAATCCACAGGGAAAAAAATCCAATGTCATTGTTTACAGTGCTTCTCTACACGTACATTGCTTATAGTGGATGTTCAAGGAATACTTCTTAACTGATTTGGTGTCTTCCCTGCTGGTGTCCCGAGAAGCATCTTTCATTATATGAAGCACTGGTTCTTTACCCAGAAAAACCCCACTAGCCAGAAGTTGCTCAGTCAGATGGAAGGCGAATCGGGATTTTATATATAGGCCTATATACAAATTACTGTACATGAGACTTCCCACCCCTTAACAGATACTTGAAATTGTTTGTTCCCTTTCTTTTTACCGGTTCTTTCAGGACATTCTCATAGGTCGGAGTAGAAAATTATCTAGTGCAAGGTATAAATCTGTGTTTGCACAGCCATTAGGTTTTTCTTTTAATTGAGATATAATTGACATACTAGTTTCATATATTAGTTTCAGGTGCACAATGTACTGACTCAATAAACCATTAGTTTATTGAACCTCCTTTAGGCTTCCTAAGATCCACTATTCTAACTGGTTGGCTGTAAACACAGGTGCTTAAACCTTACGTCAGCTGGCTCTCTTCTGACATCTAGTGTTTCTGATTCACTACTGCAAAATGCCTCAGTTCATTTTAAACCGCTGTTGGGAGAAAAATGTTACATGGAATAAAAACTTTATTCATTTTCCTTTTTTATAAGTTTATTTATTTTGAGAGAGAGTGCAAGTGAGTGGGGTTAAGGCTGAGAGAGAGAGAGAGAGAGAGAGAGAGAATGAGACTCCCAAGCAGTCCGAGCTGTCAGCACAGAGCCTGACACGGGGCTCAAACTTACGGACCTGAGATCATGACCCGAGCTGAAATCAAGAGTCAGCTGTCTAACCGACTGCGGCGCCCAGGCGCTTCACCAAGCTTCTGTTTGTTTCTAAGAAGCAAAAGACTCTTCTCTTCGCTCTTCCCATAAGAGAAAAGTGCTGTATTTTCTTGCTAGTCTGACAGGTGGGACAGAAAGACCCAGCGCACGTGGGCTGGTCTATAGTTGCAGAGGAGGCAGGGGAAACGCCTGCGGACCTGCCGCGGGCCAGGTGCTGGGCCTGAATACTGGGCTGTGAGCTATCACTGGGCTTCTAGAAGCCGCAGGGCCACGGGAACCGCAGAAACAGCCTGACAGGGTACTGAGGATTTTCGGACTCTGCAGTGTGGAAATGGAGACAGCCAACACCCCTTCACGAAACATCTCGTGTCAGGTGACGAGTCACGTAACCTCGTGGGCACTCAAAAACACCTGGCTGAAGAGAAACGGGTGATGGCCTGTTCTTTGGAGTCCCACTTTCCCATTCCGTCTGGGCTGTGTCACACGGGAAGGGGGTTGGGAAATGCCGGGGTAATGACTGGGCAGAGGTTCCCCCATAACCCTGAGACGCTGTCAGCTGTAGGCTGGGGAAGGGTCCACTTGAGCTGTCTCTTACCCATAGGAAGCAAGCCACATTTGCCCAATCCTTCCTCGATTTGTTCTTCCTTCCTTTTTCCTCTAATCCGCACGTTTCCTCACTCACCCTTGGTCTTTCAGCCTCTGTTTCTCTCCTGCCAGCACAGGAGTCTTCATACTCAACGTGGCTGCTGACCTCCTAATGCTTCTTTAGTGTTTACTTCTTTAACCAGTTGTCACTGGGCCACTGCTGAGCGAGGCGGCGTCACCTTTGGACACAGACCTGGCCCATCAGGGCCCCCACTTTGGAGTGCCTTCCTCAACGCTGTGCAGGCCTGTAGTGCCCGGAACTGGTCAGGCTGAAGTGCTCCCTGGGCTGGGGACCCACGCCTGGGCCTGGTCTCGCGTGGGTCTGGGTCACAGAAAGCACATGCCCCAACATTTCGCAAGTGCCCCCACTGCGGTGACGAGCCGGCCACGGCAGAGCCACGTGGCTAGGGCACCCTGAGCTTGGCCAGACTGCACGGCCCTCACTCCCATCTCTCCCCTTCGGGGATGAGTGAAGCCCGACTCATTCGCGAGTCAACGGGGTGCTCTGGGCAGCGTTGGGGTTCACGCCGACGTGGTTGTCCAGGTCCGGTGGCCAGACTCCAGTCCCAGGAGGGTCACCTGGCCAGCACGATATTTCTTTCACAGGACTGCATGACATTGCATGGCCAGAATGGTGCTGACATGTTGAGTTTAAGTGACTCTCCTGTTGGGCACAGGACAAGTTCAGCTATGGGAGTTATTGGAGACCTACTGCTGATCCTTGGGCCTGAGCCACACACGTGGGCCTGTGTACTGGCCCTTACACGTCCATCTTCCAACTACAGTGTCACCTCTAGTTTCCAGAATGCAAGGGCAGTGGGGCGGCAACGCCCATCTCTTAGCCACCATGCCTCCAGCCACTGACGCCCGCGATGGTCACTCCAGTCTTCCCAGGGGCTCCACACGACGGATCGGGCAGCCCTCCAGGGGCAGCGAGCTGGCTCTCCCCTCCGAGGGCTTTCCCGATTATTGCTCACTAACATCAACGGGCACCTCTAACGCGTCCTCTCCTGCCTCCACCGGGGCACAGGACCAGGGCCCTGCATCAGTCTCCAGCCAAGCTAGACGAGACACAGGCATTGCTTGCCAGGATGGCACTGCCCTTCTCACTTGCCCTTGGCCTCCTGCCAAGCCTCTGGGAGGCAGTAGTATGTGAAAGGCAGGGATACTCTCAACGCTGAAAGTGATCCCATTCTGGCCACACAGGGAGTCTAGCATAAAGCCTTCAAACAAAAGCAAAGAAATCTGGTTCGTGCATGGGTGAAGAAACGGGAAACTTAAGTAAAAAAATGATGCTTTACATTTCTTAGATTTGTGCTCCTCACCAGGGAAGAGCAGTGAAGACCCCAGGAGTGCTGAGAGGTAGTATGCACAGCAAGGAGGGCTGGTACCCCGTGTGTGATGACACGGCCGGGTTGTTAGGTGACTCGCTCAGAGACCAGATTTCTGTTTCGATACAAATGGGCTGGAAAGGGGCGCCTGGGTGGCTTAGTCGGTTAAGCGTCCGACTTTCGCTTGGGTCATGATCTCGCGGTTCGTGGGTTCGAGCCCCGCGTCGGGCTCTGTGCTGACTGCCAGCTCAGAGCCTGGAGCCTGTTTCAGAGTCTGTGACTCCCTCTCTCTCTGACCCTCCCCTGCTCACGCTGTCTCTCTCTCTCTCCTAGAAATAAATAAAATTTAAAAAATATATTAAAAAAAAAATGGGCTGGAAAGAACTTTGGTGGTCTAACAGTGGCTACCTTTCTCTAGCGGCGAGAGACACGGAATTAGCTAGAAATGGCATGTCTGATAAGACTTACCAGAATCTTTCTGCTCATGGATGGAAACTAAATCTGCCGCACTTCTCTTAAAATCCTGTGAGCGGACTAAATGTGTTCATCCCTTTCGATCCCTCTCTTCTGTTTGGACGTATTGCCCAAAGCTTACAATTTACCCCAGTATCTTCAGATTATTCTTCTTACCTTTCTGCACATAAAGCCGTTCAGAACCTCCTACAACACCTTGCCCAATCACTGTGTTTCCCGGTTTCTACTGCAGCAGCAGCTCTGAAGGACTGAGAACAGATGCATAAACACGGTCTGTCCAAAACAGTTCAGAATGTCCTCTCTTCTATTCGCCGTCCTCCAGGAATTCTGAAATTTCGCAGTTGGCAAGGGTGTACAGGATGGTGAGGGACGGAACGGGGGGGGCACAGATTGAGAAACAGACTAAAACGTACCCAAAAAAATGTCTGGCAGCTTTCGAATGACTTTCTGTGGAAACAGTTTACTCGCCAACAGTCACAAGTATTTACTGACGGCTTATTGTGTTAGACACTGTGAGAGAAAGTTCAGGACACAGGCCCAGCTTTCAGGAGCTGGGCAGCATAACTGTGGAGCTGAAAAGGCATAAAAGGAAACATATATACACACACACTCACACACACACCCTCTCACACTCACACACACACACCAATACTCCCAAAACTCAAAAAACGACTCCCAGTGAACCAGAGTTAAGATTTTTTTAATGACTTTTTAAAATGTATTATTTTTGAGAAAGAGAGAAAGCATGTGAGTGGGGAAGGGGCAGAGAGGGGAGGGAAGAAAAGATCTGAAGCGACTGTGCTGACAGCACAGAGCCCAACGCGGGGCTCGAACTCACAAAGGTGAGATCGTGACCTGAGCCGAAGCCAGACGCTTAACCGACTGAGCCACCCAGGCGCCCCAAGATTTAGAAAAGGGCCTTCAGCAAGGACGGGGTGGATGGTTGGGGTGGGGGGGGGTCCTTATTTCTACAATCAACAGGAAAAAACTAAAATATTTGGATTTTCAATGCATTTATTTTGTCCTAATCTTCACATAAAAGCTTTTCCATGAAATACACCGTGATTTTTTAGTCTGTCTCCCTGATTAATTATGAAACGTGATATAAACATTCAAAAACACAGAAAGAAGAATCAGAACCAGCAACATTATAGGAAAGTTACTGCGACAGTCCAATAGTGGGATGATTGATTACTCTGATTCAATCAAGATTCCTGTTAACACGCGGCAGGCTTTCAATCAAATATATAAGTTTGCTGAAATGAAGAAATATTTCCAGTATAAACTGGACGGAACTGATAAATCAGAGCTTTATTCTCTTCAACATCAGATTCAAAATGGTGATTGTTCTTCCGAGCTGCAAGAAAGAGAGTGTTAATTTTTAAAAAAGATAGGATAAAATTTTCAAAAGGCTACTTTACAACATTCCTTCCTATACTCAGCATTATTAAGTGGGAAAAGCCACCAACAAAAGGAGAAAAGTCTTACAAGATTTCCCCTAAATACAGCAGCACTTGGTTTATTACCTAGCGAAGGGGTATCTACATACGCCCTGCACCAGACCCGGCGTGGGGCTCACCCGCCATCGGTTCAAACACTTACTAAGGGCCTGCTGTGTGCAAGACATGCGCGGGGCCCGGGGACGGAAGTATGAACAGGGCAAGGTGCTGGCACTCAAGAAGCCTAGTCTAATCCCACACACAATTGTGTCGTGATGTCTTCACAGAACGGGAAAAACAAGAGGGAAGACAGAAGTCTGGGGCACCTGGGGGGCTCCATCAGTTAAGCGTCGGACTCTTGGTTTGGGCTCAGGTCATGATCAGGTTTGTGAGTTCAAGCCTGACATTGGGCTCTGCACTGACAGCGTGGAGCCCGCTTGGGATTCTCTCTCTCTCTCTCTCTCTCTCTCTCTCTCTGTCCCTTCCTTGCTCATTCTCTCTGTCTCTCTCTCAAAATAAATAAACTTAAAAAAATTTTTTTAATAAAAAAATTTAAAAGAATAAAAGTTAGCTGAAACCTGGGGGCGCCTGGATGGTTCAGCTGGTTAAGCTTCTGACGTCAGCTCAGGTTGTGATCTCACAGTTTGTGGGTTCAAGCCCTGTGTCAGGCTCTGTGCTGACAGCTAGCTCAGACCTGGGAGCCTGCTTTGGATTCTGTGTCTCCCTCTCTCTCTGCCCCTCCCCCACTAGCACTCTCTCTCTCTCTCTCTCAAAAAGATAAAGAATAAATGTTAAAAAAAATTTTTTTAAAGAGAAAAGAAGTTAGCAAAAGTATGCATGTGCAGCAGTGAAGGCTCAGACTTTACCCTAAAGTCAAAATAAATACAGGCTTTGTGGCATGTTTAGAAACAAGGATACTGAGAAATGAAGATAAAGTAAACAGCCACGTGATGTCGCTGCAACAAACCTCACCTGCTGGCGTTCCGTGCTCCCCGTCGCGCAGCAGGGGAATGTTACTTGGGATGGGTGCTGCACGTGAGACTTTTTTTTTTTTTTAACTCGGGGTTTTTGCCATGAAACTACGCATCCAACGGAACATAACTCTCCACCAGAGTGAACTGAGGAGGAAGGACTTTACTCATGAGCGAGAGGAGCAGGGCCGATGAAAGCACAGGGCCAGCCGGGAGACGGGTGCCGACACAGCGCGTCACAGTTCACGCCTCGCCGGAGTGGCGTCCCGCCCTCTGCAAGCTGTGTTTGTAGCTCTGTCCCATACCCGTGTCACTCAGCTACAACTTAAGCATCTACGGCCAAATTCTCAATTCTACCCGTAAACGTAACAGCGTGAAAATATCTCTGTGTTTTCGTCATGAAGCACGAAACGCCCATGAACTTCCTCCAACGTGCCAGTGCCTGCAGTCAGTCTTATAGTCACAGACTGACGAGTATGCAATTCATGGAATTTGCTTAGACAAATAGCATCTAATTCTCAGAGAATGTTAAAATTAAAGCAGTATTCCTAAAAAGAAGAGTCATGGGGAAAATGTCTTTTTTAAATACCTTCAAGAAAGAAAGAAAAACAAGGAGCTCAATAATCTTTATGCTGTTGTTCAAGACTTCAGCACAGTATTGGAGCGCCTGAGGGGCTTAAGTATCTGACTTCAGCTCAGGCCATGATCTCACAGTTCCTGAGTTCGAACACCACATTGGGCTGTCTGCTCAGTGCAGAGCCTGCTTCGGATCCTGTCTCCCCCTATCTCTGCTCCTCCCCGCCAACTTCTCTCTCAAAAATAAATAAATAAATAAGCAAACACACACACACACACACACACTAAAAAAAAAGAGTTCAGTGCACTTTAGAGTATATAATACCATTAACTGAAATAATTGTCCTGGTTTTACTTGAATGTCTAGTATCTCTATTTCAGGGCTTTCCTATGATTTAAGCTTTCTTAAAGTTAAACCTACAGAACACCTACAGAGCAAAACAGTATAGAAAGTTCTGATGAGGGTGACTTCCTCCAAAGCTACAGTAGACGAATAAAATTATATACCCACATATTACCTTCAGCCACAAAGAACTCTGCTAAATAAAATGCAGCCTTCACAGCATTAGGAGCATGGGAAATGCCTTTCAACTTCCCCCACTCGTAAGGTGCTTTCTCTGGGTGCCACTGGACACCATACACCGGATACTTGTACCCTGCATGAAGGACACAGAAGAGTAAGTAAGGTAAGAATGACCGAAGATGTTACTAAACAACTCAGTTGTGTTTCACACCCTATGTAAAACATTTTTTAAAAAATTAATGTTTATTTCTGAGAGAGACAGAGAGACAGAGCAAGAACAGGGGAGGGCCAGAGAGAGAGGGAAACACAGAATGCGAAACAGACTCCAGGCTCGGAGCTGTCAGCACAGAGCCCAACGCGGGGCTCGAACCCACAAACCGTGAGATCATGACCTGAGCCGAGGTTGGACGCTTAACTGACTGAGCCACCCAGGCGCCCCTGTAAAACATTATTTTATAATTCACAGTGTCAGGGTAAAATTGTGCTCATTCTCTCAGAGACAAAATAAAGAATGCAGCTCACAATGTGAACACTCACAATACATTTCACTGATTTTTTTCAACCTTTTACAATTTGTAATATGATTTGCCTTACTAGGTAATCAGAGTAGAGTGAAATAGTTGAGCCTCGGAATAAGGCCCAGTTAAACAGTCAGGTGCCGGTGTGTGACTAGTGACACAAGTTTCGTCCACAATGGGTCCGTCCCCCCCCCACCTCATACTGTGTTTGCATCCCACCCCGTAATGTATTCATATGAGAATGAACTACGCTGTGCACTTTTGACGTCCTTTCATGTAAGCCAGTCTGTCTTGGCCTAAACTACGTCTGTCTGTGGAATGGTTCCTAACTTCATGATTGGTGTTTTGGAAGGGTCATCAGACGCTACCTGGAAAGTGACTCCGTGGACAGTTCGGAGGCTACAGAGGAGTCACGGTGGAAGGTAGTTAATCCAGAACTCAGCCAGGGTTAAGCTGGGTGTAGGGGAGGTAATATTTTCAAGAAGCATTTGGGGAACAGAAAGTTGCACAAATGTTTTAGATGTGGAGAATGAGGGCAGAAGTCAAGGACAACATCCAAGTTTCTAACTTGGGATGATTTGGTGAATGCCAAGGCTATCACTGAAGCAAAAACAGAGGAGGCAAAGAGTGTTGAGAAGGTAATAGGTTCACTTCGGACTAGGCGGACCAACCTTCCCCAGAATCCCCGGATGGTGGTTGTAAACCCGGGGACCTCTGCACCCACCCCACCCCCAGGAGCAAGCCAATCATAAGGCCAATCTTTGAACATCATGAACTACACTCACTTTGTTCCAGTTCATTCCACTCCAGGACCCTGGCCCCTCAGGCGGCACAGCCTCCCTGACTCACAGACTGTCTACTGTTTCTGTAAATTCTCCTGCATGTGCTTCCTTGCACATTAGTGATTTCTGGGCTATGACTCCTCGTTGTCCCTAAAGCCTCATAACATGGAAATCCCTTAAAGTTTGGAATAAATGTAGTTTCCTCTAGGGGCATCTGGGTGGCTCAGTTGGTTAAGCATCTGTCTTTGGCTCAGGTCAAGGTCTCATGGTTCATGGGTTCGAGCCCGTCGGGCTCTGTGCTGACAGCTCAGAGCCTGGAGCTGCTTTGGATTCTGTGTCTCCCTCTCTGTCTGCCCCTCCCCTGCTCATGCTGTCTCTCTCGCTCTCAAAAATAAATAACCATAAAAAAAAAAAAGTAGTTTCCTCCAGAGGGAATTATTTATATTTGTTTTTGCCATGCACACCGGGGAACTATCGGTTTGAAATACCTTTAAATGAAATTTTGGACTTGAGATTTATTGAACTTCCCAGTTAGCGTGATGCAGGCCGCATGTGACCAGCTTTTATGAGCGCCCAAGCCTTCTGTAGCGCCACCCCCACTCCCTGCGTGCCGAGGTTCAAGACGGCAATTCTTGCAGGGCTGCAGGCAGGGCTGCTGAGGGTTTTAGACCCTGCTCCATGTAAGGGCTTCCTGAGATTTCATCTCAAGTTCTCCTGACTCAATAACAACACTGCTTTAAATACTCCACTTAATGGAAAATACTATACAAGCTAGTAATTACTGCTAGGCATTTACACAAAGAAAACAGAAACACGAATTCAAAAAGATCCATGCACCCCTATGTTTACTGCATCATTTACAAGCCGTTGCTGTCGCCTTTTATTTCTCTATCTACTCTCCCTTCCTCTTTATTTCCATTGCCATCACCGCATTCTAGAAGAGAACACAGCTAAGTCACAAATGATTTGGAATGTGGACAAAACATGCCTCCTGTTTCCAAAAATGCCCTAGCTTCTATCTTCACACCCCAAAGTAACATGATTTTGTTACTCACAAAAGAAGTATGAGGTGAAAATTAATGTATACAAACATAAGTGAAAAAACCTGTACATGTGCATGATATATACCTTCCATGGTTGAAATAAACTCAGTGGTGCCATCGGTATTTGTAGTTAATACTTTGAAAAACGTCTGTAACTTTTCATTCTTCGTAAAATTCTAGAGTATAAAAATAAAACAAAGTAATTACTTTTGTATTTAATCTAAATTAACTCATTTAGTTAATTTCATTGTTAATTAATGTAATACCGTCATGGAGAGGCTCCACTTGTGGAAATTTGCAGTTAGACGTTCCACTGATAAGGACTGCAACAAGTCAGCCGGAAAATTCTGGAACATTCTGCTCTGTGATGCAGCTGAAATAATTTAAGCACAGAGAAATAATTTAAACATAGAAAAAATAAAATCCACCAAAGTGATCTACAGCCAAAAAGAGGCCATTATTAAGACATAATCAAGATGCCTGGTTGATAAGCAAAACACATCATTTCAACATCACATTTTCTGGACAAGCACAGAATGAGTTTCACATACAAATTCAAATATGTTCTATAATCAAGTATTTTTCTTGTAGAATTGTTACATGAATAACTAAAAATCCTTCTGATAATGGTCATATCCAGGCTGGCCACAGAGTAAGCAGAGAATTTTAACTTGAGTTATCTGGAAATCAGGAATAGTTTACCACACGAACATATTTTTGTTTTCTCAGGAAACAATCCAGAGCTTTCAACATATTTTCAAAGGTATCTGTACTTTAAAAGGTTTAAGAACACCAACAATGTGGGGGCGCCTGGGTAGCTCAGTCGGTTAAGCATCGGACTCTTGGTTTCAGCTCAGGTCATGATCTTGCGGTTCATGGATTCAAGCCCTGCATCCGGCTTCATGCTGACAATGCGGAACCTGCTTTAGATTCTCTCTCTCTCTGCCCCTTACCTGTTCACTCTGTCTCTCTCAAAATAAATAAATTTAAAAAAAAAAAAAAAAAAAAAACCAGAATACCAACACTGTAGAAAAGAGCATTAACCAGGCCATGAAATCCCTACTCAGTAAAGAGATCAAAAAGAGCAGTTTACCTCATTAAAGGCTCTGGAATCTGACAGATAAACTCAAACACCAGAAAAAGGATAAAAAAGTTCTGATGACATGCAAGGCCCTGAGGCCAACTCTCTCTAAATGAAGCTTCATCTTCAGCATGCTAATGGCTTCCATGGGAATCCCTGCACCTCAGATAATAAAATTCCACTCAAGTACCTTACTTCAGTAAGGTGCTATTCCTTTTTTATATAAACTAGGTTCTTACCACACACATACAAAATCGACTGACCTAATACATGTACTTCCCACAGAGCTCTTACAATGATTAAGTGAGACACTGTGAGAAAGAGTTTTGAAAAATATAGTATGTTCTATAGGTTCTATGTATAAAACTACCGCTTTCCATCCAAAATCCTTATGAGACCAGGATAGCTAACAGCACTCAACTCTGAGGCCTCAGAAATCAGGTAACCTACAAGAATCATCACCTACTTATACAGATGTTGGAACTAAGAATTTGCCTGGTCTGTGCCCTGAGTTCCTGACAGGGAGCTTCTAGAACTCTCAGAATTTCCCGAGAAAGAGGAGTGTCTTCGTAATGCTCATGAGGTGACCCCCCCCCCGTGGGCCCCTAGCCAGCTTTGAGATGAGTCTGGTCATCAGAAAGGTCAACCACATGACTGGAGTAGGTTAGGGCTCTGAACCAGCCTGACTTCCAGGGATGGAAGGGAGACTGGGGATGGGGTTCGGCCACACGGCCAATGACTTAATCAATGTTGCCTTCGCAATGAAACCCCAATAAGAAATTCTCGACATGCCAGGAGAGTGACGTGACTCAATAGGGAGAGGACACAGAAGCTCTGCACGCCCTCCCAGATGTCGTCTTGTGTGTATCCTTTATAATAAAAGTTAGTGTGAACACAGCACCTTCCTGAGTTCTGTGAGTCATTCCAGTGAATTACTGAACCTCAGGAAGGGTCATGGGAATCCTCAAAGCTGTGGCCAGTCGGTCAACAGTGTGGGTGGCCTTGAGGACAACTTGTGCCTGGTGTATCTGGAAGTAAGGGCAGTCTGGCTGGGGAGATAACCTCTAACTGGAGTGTGTACCAACTCCAGGTGGTCAGAGTCGCACGGCAGGACATCAAGGCTGGGCCTAAGCAGCACACAGCCGAGGGGACAAGGCTGGGCCACGGTAACTAGAGCTGACCTCTATGAGTTGGACTCAAAGCATTTAACACAGTATTTGGAAAGCAGTGTCTTATTTAATCCTCACAAACAACCCTAAGAGGAAAACCCTTCAAATCAAGAAATTAAACCATGCCTCAAGGCGAAAGGGACGAAGTAGGACTCAAATGCAGGTCCAATTTCAGAGGTCTTAATTACGCATGGTCCCAACACCACTACAGGCAACGATGGCTCCATAAGCCATCTTCACAGCTCAGCACAAAAGGTATCATCTACATCATCAGCTCGTATAAATCATTTAAAAGCCAGTAAACGTGAGGGCGCCTGGGTGGCTCAGTCAGTTAAGCATCCGACTTCGGTTCAGGTCATGATCTCACAGTCTGTGAGTTGGGAGTCCCACATCGGGCTCTGTGCTGACGACTCAGAGCCTGGAGTCTGCTTCAGATTCTGTGTCTCCCTCTCTCTATCCGTTCCCTGCTCTGCTCTGTCTCTCAAAAATAAATGTAAAAGGAAAAAAATCAGTAAACATTAGGAGCATTTCTGACTTGGATATTTGCTACTTACTAATCCTGCCTGGGTAATATTTTTTAAAGGGTTGCAAAGAGAATTCTCACCTTTGGTGAAGTTCAGCGGCAATGTAATTCCATCGGTTTTTGTGAGCGTTAATAAGCACTCACCACTAATCAAATACGAAAGCTCTTCGAATCCAAGGCATGTGCCCCACACTGGAAAATAGTCTCCATCGTCGAAACTCTTTGCAGAGTGAAAGAGAAAACTAAGGTTATTCAAATTTTCAAAACAAGAATTATACATTTGGTTTGTCATGATGAGACAGGCACCTGAGTCATGCATGCGTTTCTAAAGAATTTTCCAGGATCCATAAGTAGGCTCTCACTTAATCTTTCCCCAGACCAAGCTCCTACATAATAATTCAGTTTTAGTCAAACTACCCAACCTCAGCTGTGCTGGGAAAATGACTTGACGTGTGCCAGGCAGGTACCAACCAACACAAGTAAGAGACTGCCAATATCAGAGATAATGCTAGATAAACGCCTGTGTATATATCTGTACAAGTCTTGTTGCTTTGGATGATTCTCTGGTTTGAAGTCCTTCCTCCATTATCTCGGAATTTATAGTAATGGCTGCATGATATCACCTTCAGCTAATCTAAATCAGGGGAAAGCCGGGGCATCCGGGTGGCTCAGTCGGTTGAGCGCCTGACTTCGGTTCAGGTCATGATCTCATGGTTCGTGGGTTTGACCCCCACGTCGGGCTCTGTGCTGACAGCTCAGAGCCTTGAGCCTGCTTCGGATTCTGTGTCTCCCTATCTCTCTGTTCCTCCCCAACTTATGCTCTGTCTCTCTCTGTCTCTCAAAAGTGAATAAAACATTAAAAAATTAAAAAAAAAATAAATCAGGAGAAAGCCATGATCTGGAAGGAAAGGAACGGTCAGTAAGGACAAGGTTGAGCAAAAGTGAAATAAACTTGCAGAGAGGAAAAGTCAACTGAAAAACTACAAGTGTATTGAGCTTCTTCAAAAGGAGTCACAACAACTAGCATGAATGGGGAAAAAGCCTTGTAACAACTCACTTTTTTTGGCTAAGTAATGATTAAACCCATATGTGATGACAGTTACAAACATGAGTTTTGCCACTTTTCTAAAAAGCAATGATTTTCCTGCATAGATGGTAAAATATAACCTAACAGTCACTCGTTTTAAGTGAGGAAATTGTTAAGGTTTTCTTTTTCTTTTTTTTTCTTTTGCTCTTCTGTTCCTCACTGAGAAAAGTACAGATTTATATTAATTCCTATACTTTCCATCGCAAGGTAGGATCTTCACCACTTTCTATGCAGGTTTGGCAAATTTTATTTTTTGAACTGCATCCATTAAGTTGAAGGGTCATGCCGCATTTATAGTAAACATAGAAGAGGGCTTAACGGCTCTGTTTCCGTATATACCAAATTTAATTTCTCGACTGAACGTTAAGTCCTTGCTTGCTGGGACCACATCTGGTACTTTTTGTGGAACCTCCACAGAGCAGAGGACACAGAGGAGCCGGGCACAGACCCAACCGACCACACTTCTCAGACTTCCTCAGCGAGGGCTTTGTGAACCCCAGGGGCTGTAGCGAAATCAGTGCAAGGTTGCTGAGCTACTTTCCTTTGTTTTAAAATCGTCAAGTAGCTAATTACATTTTAAAAAATAGACTTTTGGGGGCACCTGGGTGGCTCAGTCAGTTAAGCGTCTGGCTCTTGATTTCGGTTCAAGTCATGATCTCACGGTTCTTGAGTTCAAAACCTCACATCGGGCTCTGCAATCTGCTTGGGATGCTGTCTCCCTCTCTCTGCCCCTCCCCTGCTTGTGTTCTCTCTCACTCTCTCGCTCTCTCTCTCGCAAAATAAATAAATAAAAGTAAACTTAAAAAGAAAAGTAGACTTATGGATCTTATGGATTAGGTGGTTCCTTTTTTTTTTTTTTTTTAACTGAACAAGCTAGTTACAGGAGTCCCGGGATGCAAAAGGAAAAATGACTACTTTATAATGTTCATATATATATTTCCCAAATGCATTTTAAGTCACTCACATTATAAAATTTCCAGTTTGTTCACTTTTTCAAAAAAACATGCACTGAGCATGTGCTAAGTACCCGGTACCACGTAATATGAAACGAGGAACGCCTCAGAGGGTGTTAGAACCATGAAATCTGAAGACAGAAGTAACTAACCTCAAGATATTCTCTCTTCTGAAATGTAAGCTCCTGAAGGTCACGGACCCTGTCGTATTACAGAGCTGGAGCCTAGTAAATGTCCGAACTAGTCTACAACAAAATACTCTAAAAGTGGAGAGGGGGCGGGACGCCAGTGCAGTGGGGGTTGGCAGAGAACCTCCGGAAGGGAAGAGAAGCACCTCCGTCAACACAACCAAGCTGCGCACTGGGGGTGGGATGGGAAGCAGCAGAAGAAAGCAATTTAAAAGTAGGACGACACATGGGGCGCCTGGGGGCTCAGTCAGTTAAGCGTCCGACTTCGGCTCAAGTCGTGATCTCACGGTTCCTGAGTTCGAGCCCCGCGTCGGGCTCTGTGCTGTCAGCATGGAGGCTGCTTGGAATACTCTGTCCCCCTCTCTGCCTCTCTCTCTCTTAAAAATGAATAAAACATTGGGGCGCCTGGGTGGCTTAGTCGGTTAAGCGTCCGACTTTCGCTTAGGTCATGATCTCGCGGTTCGTGGGTTCGAGCCCCGCGTCGGGCTCTGTGCTGACTGCCAGCTCGGAGCCTGGAGCCTGTTTCAGCCTGTGACTCCCTCTCTCTCTGACCCTCCCCTGCTCACGCTGTCTCTCTCTCTCTCTCTCTCTCTCTCCCCTAGAAATAAATAAAAAAAAAATATTAAAAAAAAAAAAAATGAATAAAACATTTAAAAAACTTTTTTTAAGTAGGAGGACACAGAACATATGCTAGAAATACCAACCTGGCTTGAATTCTGTGCATAAGGGAAAGCTGGGGCAGTCGGGGTGTGGACACACTGTATGTCTTGACCCAAAGACTAAGAAAGGCTACAGACCGTTTAGCCGAGCCACTCAAAGTTCTCAAGTACCTGGGATGCTAACAGCAGCTCTTTCAGGGAAGCGTTTAAGGGCAGGGGAAAGGCCCGGGCCAGCAAGACCATAGCTCAGGAGAGAAACGGGAGATCTGAGGTGCGCTGCAAAGGCAAGCTCAGTGTGCGACCTCAGAAAGGGATCAAGAGGCTCTGCCTGGTGACAGCGCGGAGCCTACAGGGACCGTGAAGAAAGGTCAAAGAGGACGAAGAGGAACTTTCAAGAGGAGACGACAATCAGTAACATATGAACCATGCCCGGTTCACAAAAGAGGCTCACAAAACACACAACAGCTTACTAAGGCAGCATGCGGACCGGGTCCACGTGAAGGCGCACGGGCGGCGGGGGCCGGCGTGTGGGGCTCGGGCCCCCGGGAGCCCCGGAATGAAAGGAAACACACAGAACAGAGGTGACAGCTTCCAGCTCCAAGGTTAAGGGCGGATGAGCCGGGTAACTGTGAATGAAGTACTACCACACGCTTAGAAAAGAAGTCTCCTCAGGGAAAATTACAAAAACCCACCGGGAATAATAGACAATAAATGCTAGCTACCTTTCTGGCCATGTCATAAAATTTTTTGGCTGCGAGGGCATAACCCGACTTCTGGAGATCAGCGCTTCCTCCAGGGAAAAGGATCCTGAAATGACGTAAAACAGGGTGCATTTCAACCTCACGCCCCACGGAAAATAAACACTCTTTTTATCCTAAAGCAAATTTTGCCTTACCACATAAGTAACAACATCATTAAAGAAAGTTAGAAAACTACGGCAAAAAGACAAAATATTTACGCTCCTACACATTCACAAACTGCCATAGCCAGCAATAGTCCTGTGCACATTCTTCTGCAATTTCCTCAATTAAGTTTATTTTTGAGATAGAGTGTGCATAAATTAAGGTTAATAGGTGGGGGAGGGGAGGAGAGTACACAAAGCTAGAAATCAAAGTGGAGATAAAATCCCAGGTTCAGCCAGGTTTAAATCCAGGGCATCAGTGACGCCAAAATCAACTGCAGGCCCATAATCATGAGTTGGTTTTGGCTCATGGAGAACTATTTTTAACCCCAAAGAACAAACTGGCCATAAAAATATACAAGGGCTAGAAGCGAATATCCATGAGAATGTATTTACTTTTTTAAGTTTTTTAAGTTTATTTATTTTGAGAGGGAGAGAAAGAGAGTGAGCGAGCAGGGGGAAGAGCAGAGAGAAAGGGAGAGAGAAAATCCCAAGCAAGCAAGCTCCACACCTCAGCACAGAGCCCGAGGTAGGGCTTGAACTCATGAACCGTGAGATCATGACCCGAGCCGAGGTCGGACGCCCAACCCACTGAACCACCCAGGAGCCCCTCGAATTATCTTCTGAAAGATAACTGATTCTGATCCCCAAACTTGGAACTTCTAAATCCTCCAAGCAAGCAGTATGCCATGTCATTCAAAGTGGCTTCCAAACATTACAGACAAGCATTAAAAGAACAAAGAGTATGTAACGCTTTTTTTAAAAAAGACCTAAATGTATCTACTACGTAGCATTTATTTCTTAAGCTGCCTGCTGTCTGCAGTACTTTCTCATCTCTCAACAAAGTAATTCCTATAAAAGAATTCAGAAAACCACCGCTTTGCAACTATAAAATAGTCACATTGAAACATGTATATTTATATGTATTTTTACAAAACTAGACTACATCCACCTCATTCCCTTTATCACACCAATGCTGCAACTTACCCATTAATAGACTGGAACAACTTTTCATACTCTTCTTCGATAAGATCAGGTCTGAAAACAATAAAAACAATTATAAAACATCCATTTCCAAAACTCAAAGAAAAAGTAAGACTCAAAATGAAGCCCCCCACATTAATTTTAAAAAGACAAATGAAAAATAATTTTTAAATGCTAGGCAATAGCTCTCTCCCTTCCTAGAGATATTTTTTCCAAACTACATGAAGATCACATATTGTAATTATATTCTTATGTTGCTAATCCTACAAGTAAACGTGTTTTCCTGTGGTCTCAATATAATTTCAGATTGTGAAGTGTGTGTTAATATGTAAAACTTTACAGACCATGAGATTTGGGCACCAGTAATTTCTCTGTTAGCTGAGAACTACCAAAAACATGTCAGGATACTCAGTAGTTTTACAAAAAGACTAAATAAAGTGATTTATTAATATGCCTATTAATAAATAGAGAAAACAACACATGTAAATACCAAGTCCCTTCCTCATCCCACCCCCACCAGCAACTGCAAACACCTGGAGACCACTGTGTATTCAAAACTCAGAAGAGTTTGGATCTGGGGACAGACTACATGCACACCGCTGTAGACTCGTGTAACTTGCTCCAAGGCTCCCTTCACCAAACACCACTTAAGGGCTCCTGACATTGCCATGTTATTGATGATTTTATCCCCTCCTCCAGAAAAAAAAGCGATGAAACTCATCTGTGAAAATTTAGTTAGGTCATAGTAAAATGGGTCTGCTCTTCCAGAAGTTCAACAAAATGCAAGAAGGAGAGAAGGGAGCATCACGGTTACGAAATTCCTGCAATGACTCTCCTATGTTACACAGTCTTCTAGTTCTGTAAGATAATAACAAGGAATAATGCCCTCTCAATCAGCCACAAAAGAAGTGGGTTTATGAGCAAAGGTCAACCACAGTCCATTTCTGCCCCAGGAAAGGAAGGGTTAGAACAGCTCTCCCATTATTAAACACACATATGATGCCCCGAACTTGGCCGTGCTTTGTTGTGCTGGGTTTTCCTCACTGCAAGTCCAGGTCTCTTCACAACTTCACAATACTCCCCCTCCCAGCAGAGAGTTCTAAAGTGGTGGGTGATGCTGCCATGGGGCTTACCATCATCTTCGATGAAGGATAAATGGGCAAGTGGCCCTGACTTGGGGAGTGGCAGGGAGATGAAATGTGAGTCCACATCCCCAGCACTCTGCCAGTCCAAGCTCCCCACACTGTGCCAATGACAAGGGAACCAGAGAGGCAGGACCCAGAACCTTCCCCACGGATATTTAAACCAGGACAGACAATCATCACAGGAATGGATTTAGATCACTCAGCTACATTCCAGGGACTTCTACCAGCTAGCCATGCAGGCTGGTTTCAATCATTTCATTCTAAAAAATGGCTCCCATATTGTGCATGACTGAATTTTTGGACCCAGCTAATCATTTTTAAGGGGCTTAATTTGGGGGGGGGGGGCGGGGGAGGGGTAGGGAGGAAGTGTCATGAACTCAAGTGCCTCAGAGACCAGACAGCAAAAACAGGTGAGGCCACATTCTCTGAATACAGATGTTGCTTGCATGTTGTCAGACTTTCTAGAAAGGAAAGACCTTCTCAATAGGGTATAAACTAGTTTGCTCTCTTGTTAACTAAATGAAAACAGCTTCAGCCTGGTAGTGATGGCGGATGACCCAGTTTCAGCAGCATGAAGAGTAACAGACTTTGTTGCAACGCTGTTTTATTTAAAGTCAGCTCCAGATAATTGTCTTGGGGAAGGGAAAAAAAGTGGCCAGAAATTCAGACTTTTATGAAGTCTTCTGACTTATAAATGTTTAAAGATATTACAACTGCTGTGTGAAGAAAACACATTTTTAAATCAAAAGCAGCCAATACTACCCTTCAGGTGGGTCCCACCAGCGGGGACTTATGATAACCTCAGGGCACCAGGCACCCGAGAAGGCAGAGGAGACCAAAGACAAACTTCCTTACCTATTCTAGGATTTTGCCTGGGTCTCCCATCCTCCTCCTTATCCCTTCTAAGCCATGGAAGTTGACCCCCAGCATCCAAAATGCAGAAATAAACTCAACCCTATCAGTGTGACCACTTCAGTCCCATTATCTATTAGGTCACCCTTTGTAGGTTACTCTGGGAATGTAGCTGCCATGAATTACATTTCTTTTGTAGGACTCTATGATTCTAATTGTGAGTGATACACCTTAAAATGAACTTTGGGAAGCCAACCTGGAAATTAGCCTCTGTGCTGACAGTCACATTTGTAGTGACTCTGTCATAAATGCCAGTACTCTGCTCCTAGTCATCAGGTTTCAAAACTTCCTCCATTTCAAAACTTCCCCAAGTTTCAAAACTTGCCCAGTTTCAAAACTGGTCATTCTTGACTTTTCCTCTCTGTGCCCTTCCATTCTATGAGTCATCAAATCTTGCTGACATTTTCTAGAGAATGTTTACCCATCAGTCCCACAGCAACCACTGCTCGAAGCCAGGCCCACATCACTTCACGCACAGCCTGTCTCCACAGCCTCTGAACTGCTCTGCCTGCCTCGTGTTTCTCCTACCTCCCAGCCAGGTGATCAGCACTAACATCCTAAAAAAAACCCTTGCACCAAAAGCTTCGGTGATGAAAACTTTGAAACACTGTTCTGAAGACTCTCTAAAGCCTCTTCAGCTCTAAAACTCTGGTGTTGGGGCGCCGGGGCTTCTCAGTAGGTCAAGCCGCCGACTTTGGCTCAGGTCATGATCTCACGGCTCGTGGGTTCGAGCCCCGCGTCGGGCTCTGTGCTGACAGCTCAGAGCCTGGAGCTGCTTCAGATTCCGTGTCTCCCTCTCTCTCTGCCCCTCCCCTGCTCGCTATCTCTCTCTGGCTCTCAAAAAAATGAGTAAACGTTAAAAAAGATTCTTTAAACTCTACTGTTCTCTAGGTTCCAAATAAGATTTCATTTGAAAAAATTAGATCGCTCTAAAAAATGAAAGACAATTGTCAAAAGCAAAAGGGGTATAGAGAGTTAAGATCAAGCGAGAAGATGAAACTCATGAAGCTAGACCTAAAACCATGTTGTGGTACAACTCTCTAAGTTGTGATGTTTGCATTTTGATTATTAGCGTTTTATTTGTACAGTAACTTTCTTGGTTACAACTTTTTAATGTGAAATTAATGACAAAAATAGGTTGCCCAAAGCAAACAGTTGTGTTTTATGTGTGAAATCGCTTATAACGGATAGGTAAGACAGCTGGAAGACTGTAAAATACACTAAAATACATTAACTTTGGATGAAAAAATATTATAGATACTTATAAGGTTTTGTTAAAAATTCAGTTCTTTCCAAATCAAAATATGACATAAGTCATTTTCATCTTACTAGGCCATTACATCACCAAAAATAATGTAGCTCCTTTAAAACTGCAATACTTATTATTGATACTGAAGCAACACTGCTCTATTAGTCATTCACAAACATTTATTTATTTATTTTTTAATAGTTCATTGTCAAGTTGGTTTCCATATAACATCCAGTGCTCATCCCCACAGGTGCCCTCCTCCATGCCCATCTCCCATTCACAAACATTTAAAATAGAGTGTGAAGGTATTTTAAAAGTCATCTTCTAAATATCTCTTTTATTCCCTAAGTGTTCCTTTATCCTAATATGATGGGATAAAGCTGATTATGTTTTAGATTCTTTTTTTTTTTTTATTGTTTTTTATTTATTTCTTAGGAGAGAGAGAGAGACAGCGTGAGCAGGGGAGGGTCAGAGAGAGAGGGAGTCACAGACTGAAACAGGCTCCAGGCTCTGAGCTGGCAGTCAGCACAGAGCCCAACGCGGGGCTCGAACCCGCGAACCGCGAGATCATGACCTAAGCGAAAGTCGGACGCTTAACCGACTAAGACACCCAGGCGCCCCTGATTATGTTTTAGATTCTTTTATTCCATTACGTTCAAAAGACCACCTTTTCCAGGCTATAGGAAACTATCATTTTTTCCTTTACCACGTACGAATGACAGGCCTCTAACAGCTTGGTAAATACAGCTAGTTCATACTTTAAACAATTTAATGAGAGATTCTAAGCATCAGATTTGTGGCAAAAATCAGGTAAAATGTTGCCACATTTAAATGATGCAATCATAGCAAAGAAAACAGTACTTTTTGAGATAAAAGATAATCTGCAATAAAACGGGAGTCTTTTTATTTACACGGTGTAAAAAAAATATTGGATCATACCTTACGGGCACAACTCTGGCACCTGCGGACTCCAGATATTTTACATAGGATGCAGCAATATAGTATCTCCCCAGGCTTTTCATGTGCCCATGGCACTTTTGCATTAATACTCCTAAATTACAAAAAGAAAGAAAGAGAGAAGGAAAGGGTGGGGGAGAAACAGTTTTAGTTTCAAGCAACATTTCCTCTTTTTCTTACTCAGAAACTGAAGCACATCACAGTAAAGATACCACTACCTTACTTGTTTAAGTCACAGAATTAAATACCAAGCTTCTTCTAGAAGCACATCCATAAACTTTGAGAAAAGGGCAAGAGGCTGATAGGAAGTTCAGGTAGCCTCCTCTCTCTCACCTAATTGAGGGAGAACAAATGAGCCCCAAAGCGGGTTTGCAATAGCACCAGTCTCCTTCACAGAACCTCCTAGATCAATCTCACATCCTCAAATCTAGAAGGAGGCCTCTCCCCTCCCGCACACCCTCTAAGATACATTGTTTCCTGGACCATATAAAGCCAGACTGGAAATGTCTCCTATCCACATCTCTCCGGCATCAGCAACACTATCAATTATGATATACCAGGCACTGACCTGGGTGCCGGGGACACACGAGTGAACAAAACACAAATCCCTGCCTGTGGACTTTAATCCTAGTGTGCGGGAGGGAGAGAAGACAGCACAAATAGTTAACAAGATAAAAGGTTACAACATAAAGTCTGATGGCTGGTGGTGAATGCAAGGAGAAAAGGTAAAGCAGAGGAAGAAGGTGTGCGGGAGAGGGGGAGGAGTCGCTCCCATCTGTCCAGGGGTCCCGTCAGTCCAGTCTGGTAAGTACAATGGCCAGGTAAGTCCTACCTAAGAAGGCAGAACAAGACATCTGAGCCACAATTTCAGAGAGATGAAGGAGTGAACCGTACGCAAACATCTGGAAGAAAGGGGCTCCAGGGTGTGGGAACAACAGATGCTAAGGCCCTGAGCCAGGGGTGTGCCTATCACGTCGCAGGCTGTCCGTCTGATTAGCGCCCTGTGTGAGCGAGGGGAGAGAGCAATAGCAAATGAGATCAGAGATAACAAATCAACAGGGGGTTTCTCCTTGTGTAAGTCACCGGGTCCCTAAACTGTCACAAACCCTACGAGACCCTATGTGCTCTGCCCCACCTCCCTCCCAGGCTGCCTCTGATCACTGAAACCTCAGCCCCAGAAAGGTACTGGCCTCCAGTGTAGAGCGAAACATGTCTGTCTGGAGAGCACCCGGTGCCAGCGTCACTCGCTGCTGGGCACTTGGAATACCTCCCCTGGCTCTCTCTGTGTCAACCACTTCTGTATTCTCAGCCTCTCACGGAGTATTTGCCAGGTACTCCGTTAACATATGCTAAGTACCGAAGAGTGTTCACTACGCCCGTCTTCCTTCTTGTGAGTAGGCAACGTTGTCTCCACTGAGGAAAATGCACTGTGGTAGGGAAAGAATTAGGGGGTGTCGTAGGCAATGCACAGGGAAGGTGAGGGGCCATAAAAAAAAGGGTTTGGGACACGTGAACCTAAGTCCCAAGAAGGAGAAAAGTATATTAGGAGAGGTAAGTTCTAGCATCTTCTCCGCCCACCCTGCTCCATCACCAACATATTCATTTTTCCCATCTATGGGGGGAACCTCAGGCCATACGTCCCTCAAACTGAGACCAAAATTCCACCCATCCTTTAAGACCACCTCACAACTGTTGTGATTTCCTTGTCTTTGAATCCTCTGCGCTTCCTCACTCGGTGCCTTGCACGAAGTAGGTGCTCAGTTATTTTTGTCCTAATTCATGTGACCAAAAGCAGCCTCCCTTTTTCTATATTTAACCCTGAATTAGCACTGTTTCTAGGAAAGGGAAAAGGGTCGCCCATCTTTTGCCTCCTCTCCGTACTGAATTCTCACCACATTACACTGAATTTTATTTTGAGTTAATTCTCCTTGGAGACTCTAACCACCATTTTATGAAACCGCCTTATTTCTGAAATAAGGCATTCCAAGTTCCAAATGTTGATAGAGAACCCACTTGAAAATGGAACACTACCATTTCATATAATTCCATTTCATCCCATTCATATAACTGGAGCATATATATGAAAAAATAGTCGTTAACTTGCTCTTTAGCCATAGAATATGCCATTCCTCTTCCCGGAAGGTAAAAGAGTTTGGATGGCATCCCACTACCTGGAAAATAAACCCAATCTTAACTGTCTGACACGTATTGCTTTGTGTGCATTTTAATTCGAGGTGACTGACTTCTCCCGGGTGGCTTCCCCGTCGCTGTCCTCAATGTCTGCTTTGGCGACGCACCCGGATTTTACTCCTCCTACAACATACACGAGCTGCGAGTGAAACATTACAAGCTTCACTTTGACACCGAGTAGAGGTGACATTAGGGTTCTAGTGGCCCCTGCCGCCCGGTGCGGAGGACAAAAACCCACGGTGCCCCGTAACTCCTCGATTCGACGTTTGTAAGGATAACGCACGGTGTCCTGAAACGACGCCCTGACGCCGTGAAACGGTAACAAACCCAGAGCGCGTGCAGCGTGCTGCGTCCGCAGAAATCCCCAGACAGGGACAGACAAGAACACATCCGCGGGATGCTCCCGGCGCGCCCGCCCCCCCCCCGCCCCCCAAGTTCAAGAGCCCCGGGAGTCTGAGTCAGGCCTTAGCTACGTTTCCGCACGACCCAAACGCGGCCTCGGCCTCGACTCGCGCTACCACCGCAGGCGCACGCCGCAGCCCGGACTCGGGTGTTTCCAAACCGGCCCCGGCGGCTGGCGCGCGGCAGCGGGAAGGGCCGAGGCCGGGCTCCCGCGCAGCCTCCTTACCGACGATGGGCTTCCCGGAGGCGGAGGCGCGGGGCTCGCAGAGCGCGGGCGCGGCCGCGCAGCACAGCAGCAGGCTCAGGACGCACAGCAGGCGCCGCGGGCTCGCCATCGCGCGCGCCGCCTCCCGCCGCCGTTCAAACGCGCAGCTGGCCGGGCGGCCCGGACGGCGGCGCGGGCGGCGGCGCGGTGGGCGGTCCCGGGACCGCGCGGGGGCGGGGCCGGCGGGGCGTTCCGCCGCGGGGGCCTCTGGGAAACGCAGTTCCGGCGCGCGCGGCGGCCGCGGGGCCCGGGCGGGCGCTTCCGGGGGCGCAGGCGCCGCGCGCGTCCCATGGCTGGGCGCCCACTCTGCCCCCGCGGCCGCGAGCCCGACGCCCCTGCCCCGCGGCCGCACGGGGACGCCGGAAGCCGCCGGGCCGGCCCGGGATGGACGGGGCCTCCCTTTCGACTGTGCTATGGATGTGACCTTCAGTCACCGGTAGCCGAGCCCGGCCTCTCTCTCCAAGGGGAGCCTCTGCGGCCCCCCTGACGGGGTCTGGGAGCCACGCAGGAAGCGGGGCGCCGAGGGTTCCAGAAGCCGCCTGGGAACTCTGCGCCGACGGTAGCCGCCGCCTCAGCGGCCAGGCCCTGACTCCGGGGGGGGGGGGGGGGGGAAGAGGGGTTGCCCTGTTCCGACAGTGGATGGGGAAGAGAGGGTGATTGAGACACAGACTTGCTGGCTGTGGGGGAGGGTGGGAAATGGGCCTGGGGGGGGGGGGGGGGGGGGGGGGTGGGAAGAGTGCTGACCGCCCGGCTTCCCCCGAAGGACGGACTGTGACGTCAGAGGGAGCCCCACACCCGGCGCTGTGTCCTCAGCGTCCAGGCAGCCGGACGCCAACACGCTGCCAGGCGCGTGGCCTCTGCCCCGAAGCGGGTCCAGGAGCAGCGGGCCCCGGCCACCCCCGCAAACGGGCGGGTCCCCTTCACCGTCAGTGTAGGCCACAGACCTGCCTGCCCTGCACACGGGGGCACAAACGATATCTGGTTCCCGGGCATCGCAAGTGTTTTGAGGTGTCTGTCTAAAATTTCAAAAGAGAGTCAGAACCGACTGGTGGGAAACCAGGTCGAGGACGGAAGGAAACCTTTGCCTTCTGTGCGAACACCTCAGTACACAGGTACGGTTTGGACTGGGTGCAAGCGCCCACCTCCCAGGGCCAGATTAAATTCAGAATAAAACTCTTCGGTATTGAGAGTCTACGCAATCAATGCTGAACGCTGAGGATGGAAAGGTGAATTGGACAATGAGATTTTTACAGGAAGTTTACAGTTTATTAAGGAGAAGAGACAGGACGAGAACATAACTTGTGGAGAGAGCAAGAATATACTTTCGGCCTGTTTCAGGAAGAGTGAACGCAATAAGTAATCTGGTTCGACAAGGAAATACTGCCGCCGTAGAAGGGTGTGGTGAAGAGATAAGCCCGAAGGATGTGGTTAAAGGTATTGTGAAAGGCCTTAAGTGCTCAGCTGGTTTTGAGCATAATTGAAGAGGAGGAGCCTTGGTAAATATGAATTTGAGGTGTTGGAGCAGGTATCCATGCACAGAGGAAAAACTATTACCTGCATGATACACAAAAATAAACTCCATATAGATTAAGATGTAAATGTGAAAAGCAAAATATACTTCGATTAGAAAATATAGGACCAGTGCTCGCTTCGGCAGCACATATACTAAAATTAGAAAATATAGGACCATATCTTCATGACTTTGATGGCCAGAAGGATTTTATAAAACATTAAAAATGCGAAAGTTAGTGGAGAAAAAGAATAGATTTGACAATGATATAATATTGAAACTTCTGTATAACTTTAGAAAGTTAAAGATAAGGCACAAACTTAAGAAATATACAGTATAGAATTTTAAATGTTTGTTTCTAGAATATACAAAAAACTAAAATCGATAAGGACAGAATCCCAAAAGAAAAATAAGGAGGGAGTATGAAATGACAAACCAAACCCTCAGTAGTCATCAGGGAAATAAATATTAAAATAATATGTCACATCCGTCAGATTGACAAGAATGTAAACCTTCAAATAATAAACTATGTAGAAAGTGAGAAATCTTTAACGCTACTATTAGACTTGTATTATTACAACCACTATGGAGAGCAGTTAGGCAATATCTGGTAAAGGTAAAGATGCATATATTCTGTAAATATTCAGCACTTTTCAAACATAGGTATACACCCTAGAGAAGTGCTTGCATGTGTGAGCAAAAACAGATACAAATATGTTCTTTGCAGCATTTTTTTTAATCGTGAAATACTGAATGCAATGTAAATGACCTATAAGAGAATGGATACTAAATTGAAAAGGTAATAGACTATTAGGAAGCTTGAAAATGAATGAATCAGAGCTGCTTGGCTGCTTATGAACAGTGATGAATCTCTATTAATCAGAGACAACAGAGATAAACTGTGTTTGAGCTTAGAGGATAATGTCAACCACCTGAACCAGACTGTCCACACATTTTCAAAAAATATGTACAAGCAGTGTGAATATAATTACATGTGATTCATGTCTTTAGCAATATTAGGAGACAGAGGATACCACAAACATCTAATTTTCAGAAACTTGATTTGTACCAAATTTTTTTATTTATTTCTCGGAGAGAGAGACAGCATGAGCAGGGGAGAATTTTAAAAAGCTTCCTCCACTGCTGCAAGATCTCTAGATGCTGAGAGTGGGAGAGGCAGGGCTTCAAAGAATGAGGGGCACCGGGGCGGTTCAGTAGGTTTAGCTTCCGACGCGCTTCATCTCTGCTCAGGTCATGATCTCATGGTTAGGTTATGGGATCAATCCCCTCATTGAGCTCCATGCTGACAGCAAAGAGCCTGCTTGAGATTCTCTCTCTCCCTCTCTCTCTCTGCCCTTCCCCCAAAATCAAACCCCAAAAGAAAATGTCAAACATTAAGTGCCAACATACTAAACAGAGCCTGGGTCTTGGTAAGTTATAGCTTTGGCTATCAAGTAGAAGCTAGAAAATGAGTGAGACCAGAGGTGACAGCTTCAGGTAAGCATTACTTCCCTTTTTGTTTGTTTGTTTGTTTGTTTTTGAGAGAGAGCATGAGCGGTAGAGGGAAAGAGAATCTCAAGCAGGCTCAATGCTCTGCATATAGCCAGATACAGGGCTCAATCTCACGACCCTGAGATCATGACCTGAGCCAAAATCAGGAGTTGGATGCTCAACCGACTGAGCCATCCAAGGGCCCCATATCATCATTACTTCTGAGGAAGAATCAGCTACATTGTCAAGAGGGTTGCATCCCTTAAAGACATGGCAGTGAAAAGAAAGAAGAAGGGGGAAAATTAAGGATTCTACAGAAACAAAAGAGGAGTCATGCCAGCCATTTCACCTCACCCCTACATCCATAAATCTGTCATCACTGAAAACACTGTGTGTTAAACGAATACCACTGAACTATACTGACACAATAAAATTCTTTCCAACTAGGGAATTGTCCACAAAAGGCTTACTTTTAAAAAAAGTCAGACCAACATAATATAAAATTACTCTGAGACGAAAACAGAAAAGGTAAATTGTAACATTTCACCTAAGGAAAATTACTCCTCAAAACAAACAAAACTGTAAGACCAAGCTCCAAACTATAATTAAATATTCTCAGGCAAGCACTGTGTGTGTATGTGTATATATATCAAATCTAGCTCACAACCCAAGAACAGAAATGAACAAAACCAGGAAGGAATGCCACAAAAATGCAACAAAAGATGATCTAATGAAGAAAAATTTGAAGGAAAAGACAAAAACATCTCACAAGTGAAGAATAAATTATCACTGTCTAAGGCAGAAAAGATTCAAGTGAAAATTTAATAAGCAGTGAAGAAAGGGAATAAACAACCAAAGGCAAAAGTAAAACAGGTCTGAGAAAAAGTGCTTAAAATGGAAGACAGGCAAAGAAGTTTCAAATTATGTATTATCGGAGTCCTGGAAGAAGAAGAAAACAAAGCAATGGATTAAAAGCAATATTTATCATCATAACCCAAGAGACCTTCTGTAAGAGAAAAATGGTAAAATTGGCCCGTAATGAACAACTCTGAGACTTAGTAAAACTAGTGGACATTAGGTAAAAAGAGGAAAGGAAGGTTTCCAGGCAAAATAATCGGTTTACTTATGCAGGTAAGAATATTAGTATGACCTCCCACTTTTCAAGAGCAACATAAAGATCAAGGCAATAATGGAGCATAATTTTAAGAAAACTCCAAATAAGTGCTTAGATTTCTGTATGCAGCTGAGCTATACTTCCAAGTAAGAGGGTTATAGAAACACATAACTGTTTTCATACAGCCTTCCTGTAAAACCATCTAGAAGATGAATTTCATCTAAACAAAAGATGACTTGGAAAATAAATCAGAATACCTGATGGTGAGCATTTAATACATTTAATTGTAGTACTAATACTAAAATAAGGGTAGGGACATTGGTCAAAGAATATATATTCTGCCCAATAGAAAGAATGCAAGTTAAAAAAAAAAAAGAGAGGAAAAGGGAGAGAGGAGGGAAAAACTAAAATAAAATCACTGTGTGTAGGCAAGAGGTGGAAGTCAAAAGGTGCCATGTAAAAACTGACCACCAAGATAGAAAACGTTAAGACAAGGGGAATAAAGGGCATGAAAAAAGTTATAAATAACTATACCTACACACATAAATATAAGGCAGATCGATCCTAGCTGGAAAAGAGAAATCAGTGAAGCTTTCTATGTTGTCACTCTGATAAAAGAAGAATCATTGTTAATGGAAGATACCATCGGGAGCCTCTACAATGTCTAGCATATAGTAAAATATTTCTAAAAATATGAAGAAGCAGAAATAAGGAATAGTAATCTAAAAAGAAAAGTAAAATTAAAAACCCATAGATGATCTTGATAATGATCCCGTTTTCCTAGTATGAGTGTTCCTAAGACTAAGCACTTTAGTTATCTAACAAAAATAGCTAAACAAAAGCCTCAGTAAGTTTAATGCAGCATAATGCAAAGCAAAAATCAAAAGGGGCCACCTAGAGTAAAACACATTGAATTTTTCTTCAAAATCAGGAAGACAACAAAACAAAACTCACTACTGGAATGTTCCGAGAATAAAACAAAGACCACCAGAGCTAATAAACAAAACACAAAACTGATACCTTGTCCTTCAAACCATATCGGTATTTAGATGTGATAAGTAAAATCTCCAAAATGACCTGTTCTCTCATCTGTTTGAGGACCATTTGAAATGATAAAGTTTATCATTAACTTATTTTTCTTAAATATTTATAATATTATCACATACATTTTTTTTCTCACCTTCAAAAGGACAACGCTTTTATTCCCTTCTAAATATAGATGTATTAGGTAACTGGATATTCCATCCTAATTTTACATCAATTATTTACCAAAAATAATTCATGTCTGAGTTCCTCAAGCCAGTTTTGACTCCCTGAAGTTGCCACTGGCCAATTTTACACTCTCTGCAGAAAACTACCAATGACAATATTTGACTCTACATGCGTGTGGGCCACTTGTTAGAAATACCACTGACTGTCACCAAAGCAGAGTCCTAGGTGCTACTCATCTAAATGCTATAGCATATAGGTCTCTAATCATCAACTGCTTGCAGATCACTCATGACTTACCTAGCAGCAGAGGGCATCTGGCTGCACCCTAGAATTTGCTGAGCCTCTTCTGAATCACCCTGTTTTAACATTTACTCTCCCTCCTCTGCTCTCTGCTCATACACCTTGACATCCAGAATAATAGTGGTGGTGTAGAAAGGAATACTCCAGCCTTAGTCAGTGGATAGGACTGGGAAGTGGCAACTTCATTATAACTTTACTGGTCTCACATTTTAGTCTAAAGAGTGAGATCTCAGGTCATCTCTTCAAAGGGGAGAGCAATCCACTTAGAGGCCTCACTAAGGAAATCAACAGGCCACTAGAGGAAGAAGAGGAAGAGAAGAAGAAAGTGGAGGAGAGGATAACTGGGTAAAGTCAGCAGTATTATCAGTGTGACATACATCCACAAGTTGAATGAAGTCATTCCTTAGTCATCTTGTTACTTTAGGTGAAACCAGATAGTTCAGTAAAACAGGACTTATATCTCTCGGACTGGCAATGGCTTATTAATCACAGAAGAAATGACTCTTCCCTAGGATCTTCCCAGGCAAGGCTCGATCTACTAAAAACAGGACCCAAAGACTTAGGACCACCAACCAGGAACAACTATAGCCTCCTGTAGCTAAATTCTGTTCTAACTAGTTCTTGCTTCATGGCTAAAGGGAAGCTGATAGGAACAAACCTCAAGAGTTTTCTATTATGATCCTACTGCGAAGGAGATATAAACCATCCTAGAGGTTAGGAAGATAAGAGCAGTAGAGTGGCCAGAATTTGGCTACAGGGTCTCTATCTTTTCCTATGAATATGTACTGGAGTGTTTGAAACCAAGTATTTCTTCACTAAATTAAAGAAGAGGCATTTCTCTGCAAGTTCTTCACTCATTATGACATCATCTATCTTGCCCAGAACCCAATTGGAACATATGTATGAGAACAAAAGGTTTAAAAGTGGTTGAAGGGAAAACTGAATTGTAATTTGGAAATATATAATGTTTAATGCAAAATTTTTTTAAAAAGGTTTAAAATAAGCTCCCCTCCATTTTTTAATTTTTTTAATTTTATGTACTATTTATTTAGTTTAATTTAAATCCAAGTTAGTTAACATACAGTGTAATAATGATTTCAGGAATAGAATTTAGTGATTCATCACTTACATATGACACCCAGTGCTCATCCCAAGTGTCCTCAATGCCCATTCTCCCCACCCCTCACCCCAGTAGCAACCCTCAGTTTGTTCTCTGTAATTTAAGAACCTCTTATGGTTTGTCTCCTCTGTTTTTATATTATTTTTCCTTCCCTTCATTTATGTTCATCTGTTTTGTATCTTAAATTCCACACATGAGTGAAATCATACATTTATCTTTCTCTGACTGATTTATTTCACTTAGCATAACATACTCTAGTTCTATCCATGTTGTTGCAAATCACTAATTTGATCACTAATATTTATATATATATATACCACACATACCACACCTTCTTTATTCACTCATCAATCAGTGACATTTGAGCTCTGTCCATACTTTATCTCTTGTCAATAGTGCTGCTATAACACTGGGGTGCATGTGCCCCTTTGAATCAGCACTCCTGTATCCTTTGGATAAACATCTAATAGTGCAATTGCTAGGTCGTGGGGTAGCTCTATTTCTAATATTTTGAGGAATTTCCATCCTGTTTTCCAGAGTGGCTGCACCAGTTTGCATTCCCACCAGCAGTGCAAAAACGATTTCTCTTTCTCCACATCCTCGCCAGCATCTAGAGTCTCCTGGTTTGTTCATTTTAGCCACTCTGACTGGTGTGAGGTGGTATTTCATTGTGGTTTTTATTTGTATTTCCCTGATGATGAGTGATGTGGAGCATCCTTTCATGTGTCTGTTGGCCATCTGGATGTCTTCTTTGGAAAAGTGTCTATTCATGTCTTTTGCCCGTTTCTTCACTGGATTATTTGTTTTTTGAGTATTGAATTTGATAAGCTCTCTATAGATTTTGGATACTAACCCTTTATCTGAGGCGAAAATGGTAGTTCATAACCTTCCCCAGAAATCCTCCTCTGATTCCAAACAGCAGAAAATATTTGGGTGGCTTCTATCAAAGACAAAAACTGGACTAGTTAAGAGGTTTACTTATATTTATTTTGTTTACAGAGAGAGAAAATCCCAAGCAGACTCCATGCTCATTGCAGAGCCTTACATAGGGCTTGATCCCATGACCCTGGGATCACGACCTCAGTTGAAATTAAGAGTCAGACGCTCAACAGATTGAGCCACGCAGGCGCCCTGAGGTGTGTTTTATTCTGACCATTACAATTTAGACAGTACCAGATCTGAATACCAGAGTGTCAGTAGTGGTTTTGCCTTAGACTTTCATGCGAAGGGGTGAACACGTGGCATTTTGGAGATTTATGGTAGGGGTTGTTTTGCAAGGCGAAGTCTCAGATGCCTGAATAGGAAATGTTTTTCTCTGTAGTTAGCAAGTTTGAGGGAGACAAAGAATTCTAATCTTAGCCGATCAATCATGACAAACCGTTCTAATCTTAGCTAATCAATAATGAGACAAAGACTGGGAAACTGAAGGATCTGTGTCTGGCCTTGTCAGCAGACAAGGCAAAAGAGAAAGGTCTGTGTTTGTTAGCTTTGTCAAACATAGTTTGTCTGAAAACAGGCTTAAGGATTAGAGTAATTTGTGTGGAGTTTTGGTCAAAGGTCATTGAAATAGTCCACGAAGTCAGCATTTCTTGTTGGCGCTGTTCTTGGAGAAACAGCTGAACCATCTGTTGTGCTCTGACAGTTTCTAGAACTGAGAAGGGTTCTGGAGACAAGCCTGCAATCAGGGGGATACACGCAGGAATAAGCAGAAAAAACATTATTAGAGATTATATGCAGGAATAAAACCAAGACTTGAGATCAGTGTAGTGGATTCCAGAATATTAGTGTGGTAAACTCCTTTGACAATGGGGTCAGCCCTGGGGTGGCAATGGGGTGCATTTCTTCATTAGCAACTTGAGCCGTATTCATGGGGTAGAAGTCAGAGACATTTGGGGGAACACATATGCACTCTTGGCTTTAAGGAGGACAGTGCGTTTTGGCTGGGGACCCCTAAAGTGTATCTAACCCTTTCGTGTATACAGAGTTTCAAAAACATGTGAGTAATTGTGGACTCTAAGAGTGGGAGAAGAGGATGGAGAGGGCTTGAGGCTTTGGGATGCAGGCATGGAACCCTGTTAAGGGGGTCAGGGACATCTCTTTAGTCATGATGTATAAGGGAGAAGCTATGGCGGAAAAGTTAGGGAGTCAGTTCTGGTATTGCCAACTATTCATAGAAATCCTCAGAGCTGTCTTTTGGTCTTAGGGAGAGGGAAATTGATCATGGCGTTAATTTTTTTGGGAATAAAGTCTTTACTTCAGGGAAGATATCATGTGCTGGCACTTGAGAGCCATTAATTGTTTTGTGTTTAGAGATTATGTCCCTTGTGAGCAAAAGCTTGGAGTAAATATTGAGCGTTGACAACCATCATTAAGCAGAGAAGGTCATCCACACACTGAATTCAGGTAACGAGGCTCAGATGCCCCCAGAGGATTGACTGAAGTTCCTCAAAAGAGGTTCGCCTGAGTCGTGAGTGGATGAGACCGAGCAGCAGGGAAGGAAGAGGGGGTTCGGTGTGGGGCTGTGCCTGACCGTTCCCCATCCCAGACCTTCACCTCCCCCCAAGTGCAGGGTGTTCTGAGAAAGAGGGGCATGGGGCGCAGTAGAGCTCCGCTGTGGGTGGCCTGGCGCCCCAGCTCGTTTGGACTGGAGACGGAGCTCCTGCGAGAGCCGAACCGCCAGGGGGTGGAGGCCATTTATTCAACGTGGCTAATGAGTCTCTGGAACGGGCCCAGCGGGGCCAGCCTGCAGTTTTTCTGCCTGTGGGGGCAGAATGAAAGGAACTGAAGTATAAAGTCAACTAAAAACGTAAAGCCAATCACATAAGATACTTAGAGAAGGTTTGAGACTGAAATAAAGGTCTACAGGGTAGGAGCTCGTCGTTGTAACACAGCCGACATTTAAGGTGAGAGAGAAAGCGGTGGAGAGCGGAGGTCAAGTCTGAGAATTTGTACGGAGACCCCCGCCGACAGGCCAGCTTCCCAGGAAAGGGTGCCCCAGCTCGCACCGGGCAGGCCTGCGGCACCCCCGACCGCCCCCGCCGCGCTGCGGACTCCGAGAGGCCTGGTGCGCGCGGGGCGGGGCGGGGCGGGGGGCGCGCGGCTCAGGGACCCGCGCTGGCCAGCCTCAGCGGCGGCTCCGGCGGCCGGGGGCCGGGGGCGCGCGGCGGGTGCCGGCGGCGGGCTCTGCGGCAGCACCGGCCGAGCTCGCGACCCTGAGCCCGGGACAGACAGTCAGAGCTCCACTCCCGTCCTAAAAACAGGCCGTTTTCTTTTGCAGCAAAGACTGAAGGACGCAACGTATTTGAATCCAGCGTTTCGTCTGGCACAAAGTGAGTGATCCATACATTCAGGGCTCTTCAGTGGGTGTTCAAGACCTCCTACAGGCTGGTGTTACATGCATCTTTCTTTTTGTAATATAATCTTTAATGTTTATTTATTTGAGAGAGAGGGAGGGAGGGAGACACAGAGGCAGGCTCCAGGCTCTGAGCTGTCAGCCCAGGGCTCGCTCTCCTGGTGCCAGCCCCCCCCCCCCCCTCCAAAACTATAGGGCTATTTACCATTTCTCAGACATGACCTGTTCCTTCTCATCTCTAAGTCCGCCCATGCTATTTCTTTTCTTGGAATATCCTTCCTCTCCTCAGTTCTCATTGTTGTCCAGGGCAGTCAATTCTCAAAGGTTCTGCTTCAAATTGTGCCTCATCTAAAAACACATCCTCAGTTACGCCACATGGAAATTATCTTTCCTGCCAAAGCATGCTTCTGGAAGACTCCTCATGACCCTCACACTGCCGTGCAGTAGCACTTTACCTGGCTATTTGGGAGATATGTTTTCTCTCTTCTAGGTAGCACCTAGTTACTTTTTCTATTCGCTATACTATTAACTCCGTGTACAGTGCTACCAAAAGTAGATATTTAATACATCCATGTGGTCAGCTTGGATGGGGAAGAGAGTGGTCAAGCGCATACTAGGTGGGTAGGAGGACACCTTGTTAACCAGAAAATTAGTGGAGACGCGCTAATGCCATCCCCAGTTTTATTACCATCATTTCTAGGTCTGCCTCTGCATCCTCCACAGTGTCTAGATGTGGCAAAATTCAACATATAAGGCCGGTAAGGAGTGTTTCAGACACCACCGTCCGACTAGTGTCCTGAGCTTCTGGCTGGTTTGCATGTTTGACCTGTTTTGTGAGCTACAGGCTTCATTCGGGTGAGCGGCAAAGATACTATGTGCTCTATGACTTCAGTGTTATTTCTGCAAGAAAAATATATAGTTTGACAAATAAAATCATGATCCAGGCTAACAGCAGATTTCATTTCAAAATTAAATTATCTGATTAAGTAGCACACTCTTTATTTCACTTGTAAGTTTTAACCTAAGTCTGCATGGCTTCGTGTCACGAAATTAGCTTGTGGTCCCTTTAAGGACAGCAAAAGACATTGGAGAAAGACGGTGCTGAACTAAGTGGCCCGCCCAGAAAACCAGCCTGCAACGAACACTTACAAAGGAAAACTAGCATCTGGGTATTGGACAACCAGATTCGGTGAGTCTTTCCTAAGCTTACCCGTAAGGAAAAGTAGTTTTTGAAAATGAACACCTAATATTTGTATTTAAAAATGAAAAAGAAACAGCTGTAGTTTATGTAAAAGATCTTTATTTTAAAACAAATAAATTGGGGCGCCTGGGTGGCTCAGTCGGTTAAGCATCTGACTTCAGCTCAGGTCATGATCTCAAGATTTGTGGGTTCGAGCCCCACATCAGGCTCTGTGCTCACAGCTCAGAGCCTGGAGCCTGCTTTGGATTCTCTCTCTCTCTCTCTCTCTCTCTCTCTCTGACCCTCCCCTGATCACGCTGTCTCTCTCTCTCTCTCAGAAATAAATAAAACATTAAAGTTTAAAAAAAAGTAAAACAAGGGGCGCCTGGGTGGCTTAGTCGGTTAAGCGTCCAACTTTCGCTTAGGTCATGATCTCTCGGTTCGTGGGTTCGGGCCCCGCGTCGGGCTCTGTGCTGACTGCCAGCTCGGAGCCTGGAGCCTGTTTCAGTCTGTGACTCCCTCTCTCTCTGACCCTCCCCTGCTCACGCTGTCTCTCTCTCTCTCTCAGAAAAATAAAAAAAAAAAAAAAAAAAAATAAAAAAAAAAATAAAAGTAAAACAAACTATCTTGCAGCTCAGTAACATAATGAGCCTAAGTTTAGAGTTAACCTTGTAAAAGGCACTTCTGCTGCAATTACAGTAAAGTAATATATAGTAATATAAAGTAATATACAGTAACTTAGTAATATAGACAGTTTGATAGTTATTTATCCTGCCACCTTCACAAAATTGCCTGCTCATTTCACCTTGTTCTTTTAATGTTCTTCAGTGAATTGTTGCATTTAAAAAAAAGTCAAAGTCCCATCATGAAATGCACTTCTACTGACTGACATATTTTAATTCTATTTACTGTTAATAACATCACCAGGGAATCACATTTAACATTTTTAAATATTATCCTTTATTCACATGCTAAAGTAATCATTCCTTCACAGAGTCATGAGTAAGTGTTTTAAGTACTCAAACGTAAATGAAGTGCAACTCGGATATAAACCTCCTTTACAGAAAAATAAAAGTTGGGTAAACCAGAGCTTTTTGTTGTTGTTATTGTTTTTCAATGATTTTATTCTGCTATTATTTTTAATTATACAGTTTTGTGAACTATATGATTTTTTAAGAAGACTATAATCTTTTTAGAAAACAGGCATGATCTAGTGTTTTAATAAAACGTGTAATGTAAGGTTAGCTTCCCAATGCTAAGTCAATATTTGTTCTCTAAAGAACATTCACAGTTGCTCTCAATTTTTTCATAGACATATGTACAGAGAATCACAATTTTCAGCTCACCTGATTAGAATATTTTCTTGTAAAGAAAAATACCCTTCATGTATCCTTTCACAAAGATACTATAGTATAATGAATGTTGAAACCCAGCTAAGCTGAACAATGTCTAACAAATTTGCACCCTGTGTTTTTTTTCTTTTCAAACTTAAAAATTTTAAATTTATGAAACACTATTAAAGTGACATAAATTGAAAGCTATATTGACATTGTATCTTAATAAACATTCTATGATATAAGCTATAATATAAATAGCACACTTTTAACTACTGTTTTTTAAGTAAATATGAATTATAGAATTTGGCAAGAATACTCTGATATATAGTAAAAGTTAAATTATTTCATAATCTGAAAAGTTCCAGGTGTAACTGACAGTGATTTTTAAAATGTAAACATTTCTTTTCCTTTGTGTAGTTGTGTTGTTGTTCAATTAAAAGTAGAGTCCATGAATGACTACTAAATATTATTCCATTTCTAATATCATATGTAATCTTAGTAAGATAACTAAAAACCGAAGTCAAAATTACATTCTTGCTTTGTTTGAAAATGCATAAATAGTTATTAAGAAGCCATCAGCTATGCCTTAAATATTTCCTGAATTATTTTTGATTTTCAATTGTATCAACATGAGTAATTTCATAGAGACCTTTAGATGCTACATACAATAGTTTATAGCATCTAGACTCTTCAATCAAAAGTTTCTATTGTGCAAATATGCTGAAATAGAACTTCCCTGAGATGAACTGTCTTGCTGGCCCGTGGAAATAACTCTGTAAAACTATATTCAGATTTTAATCTGAATTATAATTGAATCTTACACCCATCCAAGATGAGTGTTGATAGATTTTTATCATCAGTTGATTCGTACCAATACTTCTTTTTCATGGACCACTTGTATATTTATTATGAAACCAATGTAGTCAAATAACTTGTTTAAAATGAAACTGTTCAGAAACATACAAAGGTGAACATGACAGCCACTTTTAGAGATAACTTTCAAATACAAAAACCAGGAATCTCTTCTATGCTTTCAAGATGTACTAACATTTAACTACCTGAAAGATAAACAAAATGCATTTAAAAAGCAGTTTTCCAAATACCCATGTTGCTCATGTCAGAAGAGTTTTACATTTTAGATCAATCAGAGAGAAAGCATTAATTAGTTTAAAAAGGTTCTTTTTCTTTCATTCATGTAACCAGGTAGGATCTCACTCATGTATTTTTAATTAAGAAGTCATTCACATTAAATAACTTCTTCTCATTGACTGATCTGTGAAATGCTGCTGAGATAATTTTCAGACTTCATTATAAAATTTGTCCACTCCTGACAAATGTCCTCCATGGAGAATTCTGTACCACCATATTCCAGAGGAAGAATGTCTGGGAAATGCTGAAGTAAGCTTTGTTTGTAATTGTTCCCATGCATATGAATCTGAAATAGCCAAAATGTTTGAGAAGATATGCCCAAGCCTCTCAGTTTACTAGATGCATTTCTAATGTACAATCAATACAAAATAAGGCACTCTAATGACTTTCAAGATAGGAGAGCATGTATAGACACTATGCCCTTCATTTCTCTACTTATGTAAGAATTTTATTTAAGTTTGTATTGAGCTACTTAGGAGTCTAATCATCTTACTGATTTTTATGCATCTTTGTATTCTAATAACAATACAAGATTTATTAAAAGATATTCTATCCTCTTTCAAAAATAGATATTTAGGGGCACCTGGGGGGCTCTGTCAGTTAAGCATGTGACTTCTGATTTCGGCTCAGGTCATGATCTCACCATTCGTGAAATCTATGCTGTCAGCACAGAGCCTGCTTGGGATTCTCTCTCCCCCTCTCTCTTTGCCCCTCCCTCCTTCCCCCTCCCCTCAAGTAAATAAACTTTAAAAAAATAGATTTGGGGCGCCTGGGTGGCTTAGTCGGTTTAGCGTCCGACTTTCGCTTAGGTCATGATCTCGGGGTTCGTGGGTTCGAGCCCCGCGTTGGGCTCTGTGCTGACTGCCAGCTCAGAGCCTGGAGGCTGTTTCAGAGTCTGGGACTCCCTCTCTCTCTGACCCTCCCCTGCTCACGCTGTCTCTCTCTCTCTCTCCTAGAAATAAATAAAACATTAAAAAAATTTTTTTTAAATTCTAAATAAAATTATTTTATATATTCTGTTCCCTAATGTACATGTGATTCAGAACATCTAACATCCTGAGACTCTTTTATAGATGATAAAAATGTACTACTTGGTATTAGTTCATATGAAATAAAAGCATATATCTGCACACACAGCTATGAATATGGGGAGTAATTTATGTGGTACAATTAATGGATAGAATTTGGCTAGTATAAAATCAAGAGACAATTATGATGGTTAAGAACCTTATATTTTCAAATATTTAAACCATTTTAAAATTGATTAAACCAATTAAATTTTATTTATTTATTTATTTAATTTATTTATTATTAAATAATAATATATTTATTTATTTTATTTATTTATTTATTATTTTATTTTTTATTTATTATTTATTTATTATTAAAACCAATTAATTGGTTTTAATTTTAATTAAAACCAATTAAAAATTGATCATATAATACCACAAAGTTAAAATAAAGACTTAGAACCTTTAGCACATGTTGCTAAAAACAAATAAACACCCTTTTTCCATCTGCTAGGGTAAAATGTTCATCTGTACATTAGAAGAATAAAACAAGTCTCCTGTACTCAGGAACCTCAGAGCCCCAATTCTTGGTTTCTTCTGAAATGTTCAAAACATCATCAGCTAATTAAAAAGAAATTGTCCCATCTCCCAGGAAGTGGCAAATAAGAACATTCATAGGATATTGTGAAAATATTGAATGGGAGGAGAATGGCTGGCTTGGGTCCCCACTTCTCTCATATTGGCAAGTCCATTTCACGTCATTTAACTTTCACTGAAATGCTTCACCTTTCTTCTCATTTTTTAAATTTTCCTTTCTTTTTTGCTCATATTCTCCTATTTGCTAGGAGAGTTGAGTTTATTGTTATTTTTACTTTTACTTGTCCAGAATATAACCCAAAATAGAAATACTTACGTTTAGATATATTAAACAGAAGGTGGTCAGCAATGATCAAGCTACACTGAAGAGACACAGTTATGAACACCCCAAAATTGACTTTTCTAAAAATACTAGAATGAAAAGCGGTCATCTTCATAGATGTGGTTCTTCTTAAAGACAGATAGAAATTCCTACTGGAGGGGCGCCTGGGTGGCTTAGTCGGTTAAGCGTCCGACTTTCGCTTAGGTCATGATCTCGCGGTTCGTGGGTTCAAGCCCTGCGTCGGGCTCTGTGCTGACTGCCAGCTCAGAGCCTGGAGCCTGTTTCAGTCTGTGACTCCCTCTCTCTCTGACCCTCCCCTGCTCACGCTGTCTCTCTCTCTCCTAGAAATAAATAAAAATATTTAAAAAAAAAGAAATTCCTACTGGATAACCTCTACAAATTATCCTCTACTGATTCATGTAGAAGAGTGGTTGCCATCTTGGGAACTCAGATTTTATTTTTAATATTTGAAAAAAATCCTTAAAGACATTAGATAGTCACCTCAGATAAGCCTCCACAGGATAGGTTAAAAAAAAAACAAAAACAAATTGTTTTGCTTTAACTAACACGACAGTAAGTCTCATACCTTTGGGTACTATGGTTTTCAGTTATGCGTGTCTAATTTAAATACATTTATTTTTTACTTGCACAGATAATACATTCATATGACTGGAAATCAAAAGATAAAAGATACATAGATGCCCCGGTCCCTCATCCACCCCATCCACACCTCTACTCTGCTACATACAGGTAACCATTTAGGTTGCTTTCTCGTATATCCTTTTAATGAAGCTATAACTAGAGATTCTGATTTCTCCCCTTTTTAGTCAAAAGGTGGAATACTATAAAAACTATTTTTCGTTTTCCTATTTCACTTTACAATACATCCTGCAAATTATGTCGTACTCCATAGTGTCGATGTGTCTGTTTACTTAACCAGCTCCCTGATGATGAACACTTGGTGGTTTCCGATCTTTTGCTGCAGTGAATCCTCTCATATGTGTAATTTTGCTAATGTGTTGGTCTATCTGTGGGATAAAATCCCACAAGTGCAAGGACTGTCATTTTGATACCTATTGCCACACTGCCCCCTGGAGGAAACATACAGTTCTACACTCCCACTAACAATGAATGAGAGGCCCCGTTTCTCCAGTCTCACCACCTTGATTTTTCAAAAATTAAAAAGGAATTTAATTTATAAAAGCAGTTGGTTTGTTAGACAAATACTAGAAAACACTGGGTTAATTGTGAGGAGGAGAGGGGAGATAATGATGCAGTCCTTAAGTAAAAAAGGGCTGGAATGTCTGGTACAGAAGAATGGTGACTTGAGTATGTCATACTCACCCGTTCCTTAATTTTCTCAGTCAGGAATGGTTTAATCATGGAAAAGACAGCATGGAAGATTATTGGCTCATTTATCAAATGGATACCTCGAACTTTTAATGGAAAGGAATCCTTTTGAAAATAAAATATAGTAACAAAGCATAAATGAATATATATTCCTATCGGGCAGTCCCTTCTTTGAATACTTGCTGTACCTAGTGTAGTACCTAAGGTGGAATTTTATTTTCAGAATTATTTGTTCTATCAATACAATAGCCTGCTTCACAGTTCACAGTCACTAGAGTCAGGAAAATCTCTAAAACAGGTTTTCCTTACAGCTTAGACAAAGTATGTTAACAAACATCTAACGTCTTTTGTAAGTTAGACACAGAAAGTATCTTCCCCAATCACGTATAAATGTTCTTTCAAGGAACCAACCAGTCACTCAGATATTTAGAGCTAACCATCTTCCCCTAATTTTTATTTTGAGAAAAAATTAAAGTTTCATAGAAGCTGAAAGAATAATAAACACACACTTCTAAACTTTTAACCCATGTTAAGTCTTTCACATCAAAGTAATATAGGCTTATTTAGAAAGTTAAGAATAAATAAAAAACACTTCACCAATAGTTTTCCTACCCAAAATGTGTTGTTAATATAGAGATTTCTCTCCCCAAGTTTCTGTCATAAAAAATTCTTTTTTTTTTTTTTTCTCATTCATAGCTTTTAGAGATGTGTTCTCAATTTGGAGCTCTTCCTTCCAAGTTCCTTCTATGAATAATCTTATTTTAAACATAACTGCCAATACAGTCTCTAAATAATTTGCACCCTGTTTTGTTTCATTGACATAATACAAGTTTTAATACACGAGTTTTAATATCATTGCAATAATCTATTAAACGGATGTACCATAATTTAAGTAACCAGCTTCCTATTACTGGACAAATAAGCTGTTGCTAATTTTCGTCCAGAAAACTTGATGCTATAGTAACCATCTTCATTTACATAAGGCAATAGCAGAGCTCTTACACTCAGATGCCCTGAACTGGAATTCTTGCTTCACTACTGACAAAATGTGTGTGCTTGGGCATTAGCTATGTCACCTCTCTGACACTGGTTAATCTGTAAAATGGGAAAATAATAGCCATAGGCTTGTTTGGCCATTAAATGGTAATGCACTTGAGACACTTAACAGAGTACTTGGCACACAGTATATACAAAGTCTTTACGGTATGGAAGATTATTTTTGGCTATCCCCAAAAGTAGTATCACTGGGTCAAAGATGATGGCCATCTTAAAAAGCTTTTAATTTCTGAAAGAACTGTATCAATTTATACCTACTAAGAATGTTACATTTTATTGTACCATTGCTATAAATATGGTTTTCAGTCAACCTTTTAATTGAGGAAGAAAAATTTAATAACAAAGAGAAAATTACCACATTGTTGTTTAAATGTATAAATTCTGTGGTTGCGAACCTTGAATGTATTTTTGGTTTCTTGCACATTTTTTATTTTATGAATCAATCACCTTTTACATTCTCTTTGTGTCACTGAATTATGTGAATCACTTAAAATTTTTTATTTCATTTTCTAATAAATCTACTATCCCTTTGCTTTGTCTAACGTATAACTAAATTTAAATCTATTTGGAATTATTACCCCAAAGAGTTAAAATATACACTTACTGTAAGAACAGCAGCAATCTTCTTGGCTACAGATGGGGTAATTTGAAAAGCATGAGAAAACTGCCAGCCTTCTAGATCAAAGACAGCCTTGATACCATGCCGTTGCGTTTCTACCTCCTGTACAATAAGCTCGGATGTGATTAGACTTACACGAAAAACGTCATAAGCTGTGAAAACTTTTGGGTCCCATTGTGCTAAAAAAAAAAATTAAATAGCATTATCTCAGCATAGTGTAAATACTCAGGAAGATTTACAAAGGGAAACCAATTCTTTCAAGATGTAAAAGATCAGTAGAAGTAAAAACATGTACAAAGATCATGGATCGAATAACAGATCAAACTGGTGGTCCAAAAACATGTTCCTGCTTCTCCCTCCGCCCTCAGATCCCCCGCAAAGAACAGATTTTTAGGAGAATAGGGGAAAAGAACGGATGCAGGCTGGATCTGATCGCCACATGAAACTGCACCCACAACATGCAGGAGCGGGCTGTGGCTGACGACGAGAATGTCCCCGGGTATGCTCCAAGCTCGGAGATATTGGAAATGGGAAAAGCTTTTGGATGATAAAGGATTATGAGGAGTAACCAGGGCCCTATAGTAACCAAAGAGGTTGCTAAGGGAAATGTGAGAAGAGCAGACTGGAGGATTCATGTCTCAGACACCCCCCAGTGGCAACAGCACATAGCCGTCATGTCTGAACAGGCCAGAATGGTAAGTGTGGGCTCTGGAAAAGAAACAAGCTACTCCAGTAGCTGCCCACACCCAGGGGAAACAACTAAGAAGAATAACTGACGTTCTTGTCTTCTCCCTTCCCCACCATCCCTGGGCAGGCCAGGGCAAGCAGAAATGGCACTTACAGACAGGGAAACAGGTGATCTTAAAAGAAGATATGCAGCATTTGGTATTATAAGATTTTTTAAAATACACACTTTAAAGGAAGAAGGGAACCACACTCAGTAGATAAAGGCACTAAAACCCAAGGAAATAGTTAATAAAGCGAGACATTAAAAAAGAAGCAAAATAGTTTCAGTGAGGGGGAAAAAAGAATAATGTAGGCTATTATAAGAACAGATTATTATTTAAGTTTATTTTGAGAGAGAGAGAGAGAAAGTGTGCAAGCAGGGAAGGGGCAGAGAGAGAGAGAGAAAGAGAGAATCCCAAGCAGTGGCACTGACAGTGCAGAGCCAGATGCGAAGCTCAAACCCACGTACCATGAGATCGTGACCTGAGCCAAATCTAAGAGTCAGATGCCTAACCAACTGAACTACCCAGGTGCCCCAGGACAGATTATGATTTGACAGAATCAGCTGAGATCTTGGAAACAAAAAGATGATAATTCAAGCAAATATCAGCTGAAAGAACAAATGGCAGAAAAGACACAGCCAATGAGTGGACGGTGGTTTGGGATACCAAACTGAGGAATTCTCCAGAAAGAGCCAAGAATTGATATGTATGTATCAAAAGACTCATGCAGCTAGAGACAGGCAGCTAGTAGAAGTTTCAACATCCAACTAATTAGAGTTCTGGAAGTTAAAAAAAAAAAATCCAGAGAATAGGGAAGAAAGGAAAAAGCAGTAACAGTAGAGAAAAATGTTCCAATGGTGAAAAAAATACAAGTCTTCATATTGAAAGTTCCATGGAGCGTCTAACAAAACAAATGAAAAAGAGGGAAAAAAGAGTCATGAGTAAGTAACGGTAAAGTTTCAAAATACCAGTTTCTGGCTTGGACAACTGGGTAGAATGGTGGTACCATTTACTGAGACAGGAAACAGTGAAAGAGAAATGTTTGGGGAGGAAAAGATCATAAGTAGTTTCGGACATGTAAAAATGGTGTCTGGGAGACATCCAACTGGATATAGATGAACAAGGAGCTGATTGTATGGGTCCCTGGGCACAGGAGACGGTGGGGTGAGACAGTCAACCGTAGGGATTGTCTTAGATCTCTGTAGAAAATAGCATCAGAACAGGAAGCTGAGGCCTATATTCTAAGGCATGTCAGAACTTCAAGGGTCATAGAATAGGTGGTACCAGCAAAGGAGGCTAAGAAGAAGTTAAGTTGGGAAAACAGGAGAATGTGGCATCAGAAAAGCCAGGGGAAGGGACATCTCAAGTATGAGGCAGTGGTTTGCTGTGTTGAGAGATCGAGTAAAACAGAACTGAACGTGTCTATTAGATTTGGTGAAAGGAAGGTCACTTATGATTTGTTAAGGTCATTTCAGCACAGAGGTGGAAGTGAAATCAGGCCAGGTTGGTTGTGAGGAATTGTGAAAAACTGTGAGAAAAGACAGATGGTGAACATCACTAATTTAAGATGTTTGGCTGAGAACGAGGAGTGGGGAGATGGCTGGGTGGAGGCTGGAGGGTCTTGTGGGATTGAGGAGGAGGTTTTGCTTTGCTTTGGATGGCTGACCCTTAACAGATTTAAATGTTGATGGGGCGTGTCTACTAGCAAAGAAAAATGTGAAGATATATATAGAGAGAAGAGACAATCCGAAGTATTCCCAGGAAGGCACAATAGGATTGCCTTTTGCTCTGTAGGAGCCTCAGCTGCCTGGTAAGAATTTGAATAATCAATTCATGGATAACCCAGCTCAAATATAATATACTACTTCAGACACTGCAGGAAGCTACCATGGTGAAAAATTGGTGCAGAATGATTGAAAGTCTGTAGTTAAGAAAATAGTAGCTGACCTAAATTTCCGAGCTCACCAACACAGTCGTCTAGACCTGTGCTGTCCAACATGGTAGCCATTAGCCGCGTGTGGCTATTTAAACCTAAGTTAATTATCATTAGACAAAATTAAAAAATCAGTTTCTTAGTTGCAAAAGCCACATTCAAGTGCTCAGTAGTCACACGTGTCGCATGGCTATTGCAGAACAACTTCATCATTATAGAAAATTCCACTGGCTAGCACTGGTCTAGACTCCAAGCTTCTTTAAGGCAAAAGAAAGACATGCCTTAGATGTCTAATTCCTTTTTCAGCATCTATCTAACATTGATTGAGTGCTTATTTATGTCAGGTAATGTCCTAATTATATTTCATATATACTACAAGATTTAACACTCACAGCAACCCTGCCTGTGTGACAGATGAGAAAATGGGGTTCCAGGTACAGCTTCCCATGGAGCTGGAAAGTGGTCGAGCTGGAGTTCGAACCCGGCCAAGGTGCTGTAGAACCTATGCTCCTAACAACTATGCCAGAGTCAGAACTTAATACTGCTAACTGTGTTGCTGCTGCCGCGTTATAGTAGTGAGTCTCCAAGGCATAAAATTATGTCCTCTGGCTTGCGGGCTAATGGCAAAAACTGAGTTTCACTGTGTATTGCCCTGACGGGATTCGAGATAAAGGCTGTGGACATTTTGTCACTGCTTTTCCTGCAGAGACGGTACCTAGGCAAAGGTGGTTACGCTAATGTCCAAAAACCTCTACCACAGATTTCCTTTTTTAGTTCCTCCCATTAATTCAGTTAAATTGAGGAAATTTATAAATCTTTATTCTATCCTTTCATTTTACTCCTAAGCCTCTTCTGATTCTCCTTTTCACCCTAGAATAATGTCTTATTCTACATAACACACCGGAAATTTGCTACATGCCTTTCTGCTCTGACCATCACTAACTTACAGGATTTCTTTCTTTTTTTTTTAAATTTTTTTATAGTTTATTTTTGAGACAGAGACAGAACATGAGCTGTCAGCACAAAGCCTGACATGGGGCTCGAACCCACGAACTGCAAGATCATGACCTGAGCCAAGGTCGGACGCGTAACCGACTGAGCCACCCAGGTGTCCCCCTACATGTTTTCTTGATTTTAAAATCTCTCTTTTAGTTAAAGAGTATACTTAACTATTTTTTTAATTTTTTAAATGTTTTATTTATTTCTGAGAGAGAGACAGCATGAGCAGAGGAGGGTCAGAGAGAGAGAGGGAGACACAGAATCCAAAACTGGCTCCAGGCTCTGAGCTGTCAGCACAAGCCTGACGTGGGGCTCGAACCCACAAACCGTGAGATCATGACCTGAGCCAAAGTCAGATGCTCAACCGACTGAGCCACCCAGATACCTCAGTATATTTAACTATTAATGTACTATAAGAAACCCTCCCTAAGCAATAGAAGACTATTAATTTACTGTTAAGGTATGTATGTATGTATTTATAAAGACTTTATTTTTAATTTTTTAAGTTTCTTTATTTTGAGAGAGAGAGAGAAAGAGAGAGAATGTGTATGTGTGAGCAGGGGAGGGACAGAGAGAGGGAGAGAAAGAATCCAAAGCAGGTTCCAAGCTGTCAGCGCAAAACTTGATGTGGGGCTCTATCCCACGAACCATGAGATCATGACCTGAGCCGAAATCAAGAGTCAGACTCTCAACTGACTGAGTCACCCAGGTGCCCCTAAAGATTTTATTTTTAAGTGATCTCTGCACCCAGTATAGGGCTCAAACTTACAACCCTGAGATCAAGAGTCACAGACTCCACTAACTGAGCCAGCCAGGTACCCCCCAGTGTTAAGGTATTTATGATCAAAGTAGTACATTTGCTTTTTACTTTCAAGGTGTCATTTTTACTTCTTAACTTGCCTCCAGGTAATTTACGAACAAACTCAAAAAAACAAAACAAAACAAAACAAAAAACAAAAAAACCCTCCAGCCAGGCAGCACAGAGCCAGGACACTTGCCGTTTTCAGTTTTATATGCTGGGACCTCTGAGTGGCACTGCCAGATGAAATATAAGACTGCCTCTGAAGGCTGGATTTCAGATAAACACGATATAACCTTTAACGTTAAGTGTGCCGCGTGCATACTAAAAAATTACTGTTTATCTGAAATTCAAATGCAAACAGGACATAACCATATTTTCATCAAATGTATGTTTACTTGATATACAAAACAAGGATACTATCTTAACTCTGGCAACTCTATCCTGAAATAACTTGGAGAACTTCATTCATCTTCCTAGAATACGGCCGGGGGGGACGGGGGGGGGGGCAGACACTGTGATGGCTGTTTCATAGACAACGACTTCACGATGACCCAGGTGTATTTGACACATAGGTTGGGGCCAAAAACCAGAAGCATCCTACTCCATCTTCTGAAAGCCTCCAGAATTAAATGCAGTGTCTTCTTGCGAGATCACAAACGGTTGAGTTACTATCATCAGGCAGGAAAAGCAAATCTATAAATATTTTCAAGTTCCCTAGAATATTTACAGATGTAAAAGTTTTTGTAGGATTATAATTAATGAGATTCTCCTCGTGAAATATTGGTTATCTTTGTCCTTCCAACTGGGCCACGAGAGGGTGCTAGGGGCTGTGTGGGTCCTTTGTTCCGCACCATTTCTAATCACACACAGGTCTAAGGAAGGGGCAGTCGCCAACCCACGGAAACACTAGGAAGGCCTAACGGTGAAGACGGGGAGCTGTGACAAGGGAGGCACGTGGGATACAACGTCTTCCAGCTCCCCAGGAGAGTCCCTTTCCCCCCGGACGTGCCCCCACCCCGGAGAGGGAGCCCCTGTCTGCCCCCTCAGGCCTGGGGCCGTTCATTCACTCCAGCAGCAGGTAATAAATCCCTACCGCGTACCAGCCCCTGGTTTCAGTGTCTGGGACACAGTGAACAGACAAAGTCCATCCATGCTCTCATGAGCTTGCACTATTACAGCCCAGAATTCTTGTTTGGATTTCCTACCAAGCACTTTTTAAACCCTTTACCTTGATATTTTTCACCTTTCCCCCCCTATTTCTCTACTCCGTTTTCATTCTCTCTTATTTTAAACAGTTGACTGTGTGGAAGAATGGAAGTAAGGTTTTCTTTGGTTTTTAATTTTCTCACAATTGCCAGTTTTATTATATCTGAGGGACATTAAACTCTAAATTAAACCTAAGTGAAGAGCTGAAAAGTTAAATTCTTAAATAGGGACTCATTAAAGCTTTCAATATGGCAGTCAAGAAAAAAAAAGAAAAAGAAAAAAAGTACAATGTAGGACTTACCGATTCTGTAAATAAGAACTTTGCTGCCAGTGGGGTCTCTGGCTCTCAGGACTCCAAGGTAACCGGCCTTCAGAAGACCAAGGATACTTCTAGGGTGTAGATCTGCACTTATTTCTGGACATTCTGCCCTCCACTTGTAATAGTTTTTCAGTAACTGAAAAGTAAAATAAAAATTGTCTGCAGATAACATACCTGGTAAAAATGGTAGCAAAGCCTTGGCATTACGGATGGCCCTTTCCATCCGTTATGTCAGAATTTTAATCTGGTGTATTTTTTTTTAGCTGTAAAAATTAAAGTTCCCTTCCTCAAGGATCTCAGGTGATAAGACTTCATCACAAATTCAAAGTTGAATAATTTTCATTTGACTCCTATGGCTGGCGGTCTCCAGAAATAGCCGCATTACCCACCTCCTGGTCAACACATGCAGCTCGTCCCGTCAGAGATGGGATCCATTTGATTCCTCCTCCCTGAACCTTGGATGGCCCGACATCTTTTTTTTTTTTTAATCTACATCCAACTTAGTTAGCACATAGTGCAACAATGATTTTAGGAGTAGATTCCTTAATGCCCCTCACCTATTTAGCTCATTCCCCCTCCCACACCTCCTCCAGTAACCCTCTGTTTCCTCTCCATATTTAAGTCTCTTATGTTTCCCCCTGCCCTGTTTTTATATTATTTTTGCTTCCCTTCCCTTATGTTTATCTATTTTGTATCTTAAAGTCCTCATATGAGTGAAGTCATATGATATTTGTCTTCCTCTGACTAATTTCACTTAGCATAATACTCTCTAGTTCCATCCATGTAAGTTGCAAATGACAGGATTTTAGTTCTTTTTGATTGTCGAGTAATACTCCTTTGTATATATATCACATCTTCTTTATCCATTCATCCACTGATGGATATTTGGGCTCTTTCCGTACTCTGGCTATTGCTGATAGCGCTGCTATAAACACTGGGGTGGGTACACGTGCCCCTTTGAAACAGCACACCTGTATCCCTTTAAATGCAATTGCTGGGTCGTAGGGTAGTTCTATTTTTCATGTTTTGAGGAACATCCCTACTGTTTTCCAGAGCAGCTGCACCAGTTTGCATTCCCACCAGCAGTGCAGAGAGAGCCTCTTTCTCGGCATCCTCGCCAGCATCTGTCGGTGCCTGAGTTGTTCATGGTAGACATTCTGACCGGTGTGAGGTGGTATCTCCCTGATGATGAGTGACACTGAGCATCATTTCATGTGTCTGTTGGCCATCTGGATGTCCTCTTTGGAGAAGTGTCTGTTCACGTGGCCTTACGTCTTGCTTTGGCAGAAGTGACACTGTGCTGGTTTAGGAAGTCTGCGACTTTCTGTGTGCTTTTTGGGATCAGGACACCACATAAGAATAAGATTACCAAGGGGCACCCGGGTGGCTCAGTCCATTAAGCAGCCGACTGGCTCAGGTCGTTATCTCATGGCTCGTCTAGTGAGCCTGAGCCCCGTGTCGGGCTCTGTGCTGGCAGCTCAGAGCTTAGAGCCTCCTTTGGATTCTGTGTTTCCCTCTCTCTCTGTTCCTTCCCCACTTGTGCTCTGCCTCTCTCTCAAAAATAAATAAACATTAAAAAAATGTTTTTAAAAAAAAGACTAAGATTACCAAATCATTAAGTCTATGTGGAGAGAAGCACTGCACAACCAGAGCTCATCTTGGTCTGATCTCAGCCAAGTTCTCATCTGATGCAATGTGGAGCAGAGACGGCCCCACGCAGCCCTGCCCAAATTAAGAGAATCGCAGACAAATAAATAGTGGTGGTTTGAGCCACTGAGTTTGGGGGTGATCTGTTACTCAGCAACAGATAACGGAAACATCCACATTTAGTCCTTTCTGAAACAAAGAGGAAGAGAAATCAAACAAATTAGTCCTACAAATATTTTGGGAGCATCCACAATGTTCCACATACTGTGTTGGCACCTGAATTAGAGCAGTGAACAGAATAAAATGCCTGCACTCCCTGGAGCTGACCCGTCAGTAGCACCTACATCATACAAGCCGGGCCAGGTAGTCAAAAGGTAAATTCCCGGGCTGATTCTTCAGAAAAACGTAACTCTACCATTTATTATCTGTGTGATCTTGGGTAAATACTTAACTCCTTTGAGTCTTGTTTCCTCTATATCTGCCTCGTAGGGTTAAATGTAAATCATACATGGGCATAATGAGTGGTAGTTACCACTGCTGTTGTGATCATTGGGAAAGTTATTTGGATTTATATTGCTCATCCAAGTATCTTAGTGCAGGTTTATATTAAAGATAACTAGGATTTTTGGTTTCATTTTCTTTCCTACAAAAAAAAAAAAGAGCTCAATCAAAGATACAAAGGAATGTCTCTATGCAACTACTATATTTTCTACTAATAGAAAACCAACAAAAATCGACATTTAAGATTTTTTTTTTAATTTTATTTCTAAGATAGAGACAGCGTGAGCAGGGGAGGGGCAGAGAGAGAAACAGGCTCCAGGCTCTGAGCTAGCTGTCAGCACAGAGCCCGATGTGGGGCTCAAACCCACAAACCGTAAGATCACGACCTGAGCTGAAGTCGGAGGCTTATCCAACTGAGCCACCCAGGCGCCCCAACATTTAAGATTCTTTTTAATGTTTATTTATTTTTGAGAGAGAGAGAGCAGGAGTGGGGAAGGGACAGAGAGAGGGAAACACAGAATCTGAAGCAGCGCCAGGCTCTGAGCTGTCAGCGCAGGCCTGTCCCAACACAGGGCTCAAACCCATGAAGCACACGCGAGATCAGGATCTGAGCCGAAGTCGGATGCTTAACTGACTGAGCTACCCAGGCGCCCCCCAAATCAACGCTTTAATAGTGGTCTGCCTTCAGAGTGGAACAGTATGCCTGGATAGTAAGTCTTGGCAAAGTATGAAGGAATCCTGTTTTCTTTTTTATTTTAAAATAACCACCAGTAATTGTCAGTCTGCATTTACAAGTAATACAGATACTGCCAGTGTCTTATGGAGAATACTAAAATCAAATTATGCATTTAAAATTTGTGATTTTTAAATTTTTCTTCACGATTTTCAGTGTTCTCAATTTTTGTAAAATGACAGCACGTTTGTTTTGAAGTTTAAGAGGTCTGTTAGCAATGGGGAACTGAAGTTCAGATGAAAGGAAGGACTGATTCCCTACTTGAGAGTCCTTGGGATAAACACGACAGGTGTGATCGCCAAGTAGTTATGATCTGGAGGAGAAACCACAACACAAATTCAGGAACCACGTAGAAGGGGGAATTCTAACCCCCGGGCAATGTTATGGCTGGAAATGGCTGAAGAACGAGAAAAGCTGGTCGGGCTGTATCTATACAGGAGAGGCGAGGCCATGACGCACAGGCGGGAGGGAGAAGTTACGTGTGCCGCCTGCCCCCTCCCCTCTCTCTCTCATCTATGTGGTCTTTCTTTCTCTATTTCCATCTTTCTCCCTCTCATATCTTCATTAAATAAACTCTTCCGAACTGTTTTAAAAAAAGAGAGTTGCTACGAGTTAAATGACACTGAGAGGTAAGAATGAAAAAGCCCGTAAATCAGCCAACACCGAAATAATTGGTGACCTAAATAGCAGCTCCCAAAAGCAGAAAGAACAAAAGGTACATTGTAGATTCTGATATGTTCATTCTACTCTATGAGTTTCTGTTCCTCCTCCCGTCTTAGGAGGCATCAGAACAAAGGCTAAAAGCAGGTAACAATGCTTTTTACTCCGATAGTTCCCTCAGACATAAAAATAGTCCTTTTAATTCTGATTCGAGGAAAAGGCTGGACGCACTCAGCATAGCAGTGCCTGTATAAAAAGAATGATATTAATTTACCATGGACTCATAGTTGTTAAGGACTATGTTAGTCACAAATTACTTTTCCGTTGATAAATCAATTCAGGACCCCGGCTGACATATATAAGTTTATGGAAACGATGTAAACGGCTACTGAGCAATTCTCAAACAAATCATCAAAAGTCTACAACAACAGAAAACTGGAAGCAAGTGAATATTCATTACTGGAAGGCACCTGTTTTGTACCACAATTAGGAACAAATAAATAAATAAAAGTTATGGTTTATGTTAATTAACCATGCTTTGTAATCGAGTATGTTTCTTCTTACATTCTTTCACATACTTTCAAACAAAATAAGAACTATGTTGGTGTAGCCTTTATGGGGTTTAATGGCATCATTTCAATCCCTTCTCACAGCCATCCTGAAAGGTAACTACTGTTACCCCATTTTATAGACAAGAAAACTCAAGCTTAGAGAAGTTAAACATTTGCTTAAGGTCAGTAACTATCAGGAGCAGAATCGCTCAAACTGACATGTGTTATGATAAATTTTACAAGAGAAGCTGCATTTAAAGGGAAATTACCAGTGAGAGCCCATGGTTTTTGAAAGCTTCAAAGACTTTGGGAAAACTATAGAACTATTTAAAGAATAAAAAAGTTGCCACATGGAGCAAAAAATATAAGGAACTGAACTAGTCGCTTGTAAAAGACAGGAATTCACAGGAATATGTAGACCAGGCAAAGGTTAACAGTTGGCAGTTTTAAGTTCATTGTTGTAAACAGAAGGGTCAAGTGTAGTGTGCTTGTGACGCAGGCTCTGCAAACTTCAACCCAAGTTCAGACCCCTGCTCCCCCACTTAATAAATGACTTCAAACTAGTTACTTCTAGAAACTGGTTACTAGTTTCATTGTAACCGAGGGGCTTATAAAGTTTTCTTCATATACTAAAACTACAGGGCTTTTCTATTATAAATAAGGGAGTTTGAGTTGAATTAGTTGCTTTTATGGTGGAAAATGAAAAAAAAAATAGTTTCCTTTCCAGTTGGCAGAAAAGTGAGGCAAAGAATTACCAGACAGAGACTTGATCCCTATCCAATGGATTTGGACACAGTCTTCCTAGCCAATTCCTCAAGGACATGGTGCAATGAAAACAATTCAGGAAAACAAAGAATATAGGAAATAATATATATAACAGAGGCTGGGGTAAATTTTATTTCTTCTTTTGTTTAGACATTACTTTTAAAAAGCAGCTAAAATGAAATCAGTAAATCATTCACTTTTTCATTCTTAGTAACCCCTACACATTTATATGTTTAATACCTCATTTAAACTGTATGCTGCTGGGGCACCTGGGTAGCTCCGTCGGTTAAGCGTCCGACTTCGGCTCAGGTCATGATCTCACATCTCGTGAGTTCGAGCCCCTTACTGGGCTCTGTGCTGACCGCTTGGAGCCTGGAGCCTCCTTCAGATTCTGTGTCTCCCTCTCTCTGTGCCCCTCTCTCACTCATGCTCTGTCTCTCTCCTTCAAAAATAAATAAACATTAAAAAAATAAAAAAATAAATAAATTACTAAAGAAAAATTTGGAGAGAAGAGCTTATAAGACCTAGAAACAATCAAAGAACAATCTAATTGATGTGTTTGATTACACAGAAATGTGTAAACTTTGCCCAGAAGAATAGTACAATGTCAAAAGACAACAAACTAGGGCAAAGGCTTCTTTTCTTTA